TTAGTAACCATTTTTCGATTTTTCTTGATGTCTGTATTTCTACTCTATTTCTAGAAAAGTATTTTTTTCTTGAGTGAATGGACCTGTTAGTCTGGCCCATCGAAAAAATTGATCACATAATAAGGTTTATTTTAGAAATCGGAGAATTTTTACTAACATAGGTGTCTTAAGACTATCTTACAAATATTGGTATTGAAGATGATCCACACTGATTCATACGTAGGTATAGCCCCCACATAACCGGACATATATACTTTCACATCAATAATCCTTCGTGTTTTATTATTGTTTCTACCTATGTCATTCTCAAACTTACAGCCGTCTGTTTGTAGCCGGACATACACACTCTGTGTAATTATGAAAGTAAGTTAGCCAGTTAAAGGTAAACTGGTGAAGTGCCATATTATATAACGTGGTGATAATTTTTACCCCTTTAATGGCTTATTCGTCTCATACAGCTTCCAAGTCTTTCCTGGGAATTATTGACAAAATATGGCAATTATGTCAGAAATTCTCAAAAGTTGCTGGAAATTACGTTTTTTTCGCTAAACATTACTTTATATTTTAACCAGTGAAACTTTCAAAATTTTACTACAATATATATTTCGATTCGAGTATTGTCGCATGTGCCAAATGTGCACCTTACCTGCAGATATGACAGTAGTTATTATGTTGTAATGCTTGGCGATGCTTACATTTTACCCTGAATTAGTTTTAGTTAACAATGATTGATGTCAAAATGTTGACAACACTTCAATGTAGACAAATGTATGAGCATTGAACGAACATTTTGGTTGAGGGATAGCAGCCGTCATTTTATGTAAGAACATCAATATTCATGTTTACAATTTCACACATAAAATATCTGGGAGAAAATTATGGTGTGGTCAGATCCAATTTTTAATCCTAAAACCAAGACATATAAACCGAAAAGGGCGATGTGTATTTTTTATTTTGGACTCCGACTTTTGACTGCCAAATTATAGAACTATTACCTTTTTTAATTCGCTACCTTCAAAAAATTCATGCAACGGCAATTTCTTCATTTCAACCTGGCCACTACAGATAAAAGACTATGTACAACATACAAATGTACATGCATTTTATATGTTTTCATCTACCATAAATATATTTATAGTATTATGTATTTTAGAGATACTCTCACATTTATTTATATGACTGGACATAATACTACTAAAATGTGAGTGGTATGACCACCAGAATGACACTTTTAAACTCACAGACAGAGGCGACAACAATATATACATATCAGTACATATGCATGTATATCTGTTGTATTGTATGTGCCGATGAGTAAAAGATAACTATTATATATTATATCGCCACCAACACAACTGCTGTAGCTATAATATCACAAGGATATACAAATTGAAGGGAGACAATTCTGAAACATGCCTTTATGAGGGCCTTCTCAAATCATCCATATAATTTCTCGTGCCCTGCTATTGCTATTTGCTATACTATATTGGCACCTCGTGAAATCCGCCATATTAAGATTTCAGCCACAATTGCCAACAAAATCAGCTATATTTTAACATTTTAGGTTCTTATTAGAAAAAACATTTTAGCTTAGGAAAACAAATTATCATATCAGTCTATGTTTTGGCATGAGCTTCATATAGCGGTACCAATAGTTTTAAGCGTTTTTAAGGTCCTGGGTAAATTTCTTAACCGAAGTGGGTGTATTTGAGTATTTTTTTATATCTCGGTGCATTGAAAACATTATCTCGAGAATTTGGAGAAAACTTCAAATAATGTTTGGCTGCAAATAGGTATTTTAACAATCTCAATGCTTAATGCCATATTTATTTCTTTTTTTAGATTATTTTAATTCTTCATATTATTGCAATTCTTCTGTATCAGGAAATGTTAGGGCACCCCCATAGGTTTACGTTTTTCTGTAAAAATTTTTCTGTCATGATGAACACGCTGATTTTTAATTTTTCTTTGAAAACCCTACCTTTAAGGCCTGCATAACTTTATTTGCCCTCTATACACCCTTTACGCATTGTGTTGATGAACTTGGATTAATAAATGAGTGACAGACTCGAATATACTACTCGGAAGGAATGTTATTTGCCACTCATACCCTGAAATGATTTTTAACTTAATTGGATTCATGTAAATTACTGCGGTAAAATGGTTATGGTCGGGGATTATAACAAATGTATGTGTACATTCAATTGCACACACACATTTCTTTTTATACCCTTCACCATAATATATATATATATGGAATCTATTGCTATAACTGAACTGATTTTTACCAATATTGATGGTTCGAAAAACTACCAAGAATTTTTTTAAGTCATTAAGTTGAGGATTGTTCATGTCGGATACAATACTCCCGTTCAGAGATTTTTAGTGTATATTCATTATTCAGCATAGTTCTTAATACGGATCCATGTTGACCATAAACAAGATACAACGTGCTTACGAACGCAGATCGAAATTTCCCACAAATGTTTGAATGTATTGTAGGCGGATAAAATTCCCACGCTCTGTGTTCTATCCACGTGCCCCTTTGAAAATTGATACTCTTAATTTGATTCCAGAACCCATTAATGTTATTGTGACAGCGGCATCTCTTTGACTTTGAAGATACATGTCGTACACACTACTCTCATCCACTGCTAATAAATGACAAGATAAGATATGTTCATTAGATACATTTCAAGCTAGACAAACAAGGTAACCCTATCGCGGCAGACGGTATCAACTTGATATGGCAAATAAATTGTTGTGATTTCAATTCGCCTTACATTTACACAGAGCGAAATTTTTGATGACAATTTAATTTTGAAGATAGTGTATCAAAACAGTTGGTGTTTAGTTCAAGGTGGGTAAAACATTGGAGATAACGGAAACTGGGAGATTCTAATATTTCGGAGATAAATAAAAATCCGAAAATTAATATATACATATTTTTAAGGGTTCTGCCCAAGGTGAATTCAGGCGAGAGCGAGTGAAGAGAGAAATTTTGACATTTGAACTACTAATAGTATGAAACTCTTACTGGGAAATTTTTACATATTTTACATATTCAGGTGAAAAATGTCGCTAAAATCATAAAAAATACCTAATATAGGCAGGTACGGTAATATGGAGGCTTTATGAATACCTGGACCTGCATAGGCAATTTTCTGTCACAGTCTCTAGTACCTATTACGAATTTCAAATACAAATTTTGAAACAATTTCGGTGAATTATGGACTTGTATTACTATCCGGTAAACAATGTCGCTAGAGTCATCAAAACACAGAATATAGTAAGGTACAGTCATATAGGGGCCACACCTAAACGTGGGCATATATAGCAAAATTTCAATACCAAAAATCCTGAAGAGCAAACATAAATTTGAGTAAAATTTTCGCCCGGAGGCCACAGACGGACGGTCATCGTTAAATCGACATAGAGTTTTTTGCTGATCAAGAATATATACAGGGTGAGATAAAAAAACTGCAACAGAGTCAAATGCCATAATTTTTACATTTTTTTAATTTGATTGAATGAAAGCAAAAAATTCCGGAAATAGCATTAAATTTTAGAATAAGTTTAGGTTTGTTCGAATTGGTCACCTTTGGCACTAATTATGGCCTTCAAACGGCCAATGAAATCGTCACACGCTGCCCGAATGTTGCTCTGCGGTATTTTGGCCCATTCCCGGCGAAGCGCTTGCTTGAGGTGTTCGACACTTTGGTATTTTTTAGTGCCAACCTTGCTTTCCAAAATACACCAGACACACTAGTCCAACGGTTTGATATCCGGAGATTTTGGTGGCCATTGTGCGCTGGAAATGAAGCGAGGAACCTCATTTTGTAAACATTCTTGGGTGGCGCTTGTTGAATGCGATGGTGCTGGGTCCTGTTGGAATGTGCAACGTCTGCGGTCAAAATGTTGGCGTGCCCAAGGCTTTAATTCACCATCCAGAATATTTTCGCGATAATATTCGGGATTTATTCTGATGCCACGGTCGTTTAATACGAGCGGAGAGCGACTATCGGCTGTTATGGCGGCCCGCACCATCATCATGGCCGGCGCTTGAGTTCTGGTGGCCAACTGAAGGTGCACATTTTCAATTGACCTCTACGGCAAGATCATTTCGTTTGTTTACAAACTGCTGTACAACGTCTGCTGTTTTCTCATCGGAGAAAACCAAATTCGTCAGTTCACCACTTTCGGCCAAGCGAAGCAACACTTTAGCCCTTTTGAATTAATTTTCTTTCGGTTGCGGTGTAAGTGCTTGCACTTTTTGGAATTTCAATGGCTTTACCCCGAGGCCATTTTTCAATATTTGCCGAATGGAATATTGTGATATGTTCAGCTCAAGAGCCATTTTTCGGCCACTGCGACGTGGATTTCGATCAAGTCGCTTCTTTACTTTTCGAACCATTTCTGCTGATGTTGCTGTTTTCTTCCGTCGACTTCCTTGACGTCGGGCTACGCTACCAGTATCACGGTAACGAGCGATGGTACAAGACACAAACGATTTATTCACATTTAAATGCTGGAGTGCTCTAACGATAGCCACTTGTGGGTATAAAAATAGTAATTTCGATTTTCCTACAATTTAAAAGTGTATTTGTACGCAAGAGAGAAATTTTTCTCAGTCACTCAGGGCTAGTGAAGTCACTCGAAAACAATTTATTCATTTCTCTGCTATTCAAGTTCTATATTTTTATACTTCACGACATAGTTGGGTAATGTAAATGTAAACAAAGTCACTGTTTTGTTTTCAATATATAAATAGTATTAAATCATAAAAATTTCAATATTTTGCATGTTGAGAGAATTGAGTGAATAGACTTATGCTCTCTCATAGCATAACGACATATATTGAAGCACTTTTTCGAAGACAACAGATGAGACAACTTTTCGGTCTATACCTTTATTAGTTAATGGTACAAGTTTTACACACATAATATTATCGACTTCAAATCGGACCCTTAATGGCAATTTGTCTCAAATGTCATATCTGAAGTAAATTTGTCTCGATTTCATTGCTGACATATCAACTTCGAACATAAGTTACTTTGTTGTAATTTTCGCCAATGATACTACCTTATCTCTCCAACACCATACTTCTTCTATAAATAAACTATTTCTAAATGAATGGGCGAATAGTTTGAAGTGTCTTTTGGAAATATGAAGACTACGTTCAACAACCAATTTCCAATTGTCTTGCTAATCTTATCCATTACCGGAAGTAATCGATTGACATCAGCGGCCAGATGGTATACTGCCCTCGATAAACGTCAGTATTATATAGAAGGTTCTACCAAGGTATTACGTATGTTTAGCTTTGAAGTTTCGTAGAGTGGCCAGATAAAAATTATTATCTTCACTTCAGTATAATTGGCTTCAGGCCATGGATGAATGTTCCCGACTTGGTCTACAACTTGTTGTCATTGACAATCCATCGAAGAATGAAGCTTTGGTGAAACTTCTCAGATCCATATTTAGTAAGTGAAATATCTCTAAAGAAAATAACAATTGCATTTAATGACTGGACAACTCAGGAAAATCTCCCGATTTATGGATTGGTCATCACGATGAATTCAATAGAGCCAAGAATAAAAATCGAGCCTGGTATGCTGCATCTTCTGGACGTGTAATAAATTTCGGATACTGGCGTAAGGGAGAAGAAAGAAGAAAAATGAACACTGTACACAAATCTATCGCAAAGCCGATTTCAAATGGAATGACGAAACCTGTGACAACCATTATTTTGGTTATATCTGTGAAGAGCATTATTTGAAAGACAAATGCAAACAGGATATGACGACGAAACAGAACACAATGAAGCAAAGGAACAATGAACTTTTGTCGGCATTTAATGAAACACAAAATAGAGTCCAAGAAAATTTGGACCTTGAGGCCAAAAAAGACATATCCACGTTAACAACGGAAGCACGGCGATCAATCGAAGAAATCCAATTGAATTGTGAGAAAGCTGTGAATACTGAGAATTCCAAATTTGCTAATAAAATCATGGATATAATAAAAAACTAATTTAATAATAAAATTTAAAATTATATAAAAAAGAAGTGAAATAAGTCTACGAACTGTACTAAATGTACTACAAGTAAACGAAAAGTATAAATAGTACTATATTTGGTACAATTTGGTATTAGATGAACAGTTAGAGCTAGAAATCTGAAATTATGTTTTAGGGTCGCCTTTCATGTGCAGCCTGAAAATATGGAGATGGTTTTGGAAATGTGTACTATAATTGAACTTAAAGTATTGAATGGTACTATATAGGGTGAGATGAAAAAACTGCAACCAATTTCAGACTACTGTCATTTCTAAGCCACTCGTCAGACAGCTGTAAAAATTATTCCAGTGAAAGCTCATTATATTGTTTGCAAGCGTACAAAAGCATTTTGGTGAGAATTTTCCAGAAAAAAAGTTATTCGTGATCGAATTCAAGCGGGATAATGTGATTTCTTTATATTTGGCTGTAAAACCACAAGTGGCTATCGCTAGAGAACTCCAGCACTTAAATGTGAATAAATCGTTTGTGTCTCGTACCATCGCTCGTTACCGCGCTACTGGTAGCGAAGCCCGACGTCAATGAAGTGGACAGAAGAAAACAGCAAAATCAGCAAAAATGGTTCGAAAAGTAAAGAAGCCACTTTATCGAAACTCGCGTTAAATGGCCGAAAAATTGCTTGTGAGCTGAACATATCGTCGCAATATTCCATTCGGGAAATATTGAAAAATGAGCTCGGGGTAAATCCATTATAATTCCAAAAAGTGCAAGATCTTACACCGCAACAGAAAGAAAATAGACTCAAAAGAGCTAAAGAGTTGCTTTGCTTGGCCGAGAGCGCTGAACTGCCGAATTTGGTTTTCTCCGATGAGAAAACATTCGTTGTCCAGCAGTTTGTAAACAAACAAAATGATCGTGTTTACTTGCCAAAGAGGTCAGCTGAAAATGTGCACCTTCGGTTGGCCACCAGAACTCAAGCGCCGGCCATGGTGAGGGTGCGGACTTCCATAACACCCGATAGTCGCTCTCCGCTTGTATTATTCGACCGTGGCAACAAAATAAATGCCGAATATTATCGCGAAAATATTGTGGAGGGTGTATTAAAGCCTTGGACACGCAAACATTTTGGCCGCAGACTTTGGACATTCCAACCGGACTCAGAACCATCGCACTCAGCATGCGCCACTCAAGAATGGTTACAAAATGAGGCTCCTCGCTTCATTTCCAGCGCACAAGGGCCACCAAATCTCCGGATACCAATCCGTTGGACTATTGTGCCACTGGAAAATTTTGGAAAGCAAGATTGGCACTTAAAAATACAAAAGTGTCGATCACCTCAAGCAAGCGCTTCGCTGGGAATGGACCAAAATACCGCAGAGCAACATTCGGGCAGCGTGTGACGGTTTCATTGGCCGTTTGAAGGCCATAATTCGTGCCAAAGGTGACCAATTCGAACAAATCTAAACTTTTTCTAAAATTTGAGGCTTTTTCCGACATTTTTTGCTTTCATTCAAAATATAAAAATTATGATTTTTTTATCTGACCCCGTGTATCATTTGATATGGCCAAAACGTGCCTCATCAAATTACCGTTTTAGGCCCTAGGTCTCTTTGGACTAAATCCGTTCCAGGATATTTGGAATCGATCAAGCGACATCCATCCGTCTGTCTGTCAGTCTGGCTGGTGCACACGATATCTCGAAAGGAAGTATCCGATTTGGTCCAAACTTGGTTCATCGTAATATTATTATCAAACTTAGATCGAGTTCGCAGATGGGCAATATCGGTCCACTCTTTCTGGTACCTCATCCACAAAAAGTTGAAATGTAAAAAAAATTTACTGCACAGGGAGAGAAAGGATTATCCGAATTTGCTCCAACTTTGCAAATCCTAATATTTTCATCAGTGCCATGTCGAAAATGGATAATATTGGTCCAGTCCATCAGTTACCTCCCCCACATAGGGTAAAAATTTAGAATAATTATAACACTTATAAAATTGGAACTTAGAGCCTGATTGTCTTTAAATCACAATATTTTTATTAACCCAAGGTCTGCTGTGAAGATGTGATGAAGAACACTAAAGTAACATCCAATTTCATTCAGACTTGGCAAATCTCAATATTTCCATCGACTTAAGACCTGTTAAAAAGATAGTTGAGATCGGACCATTTCTGGTAGCTATATATGTCTATACTTTGGAACTTTCCGAATGTTAAATTATGAAAAAGTAAGCAAAGTCTATGTCCATGTTCAATGTCTTGTCTTTATCTCCAAATCCATTTTGGAAGATTTCGTGTTTGAAATATTACCCTTAGCTTTCTGACCAGGGACATTTGCCCAATATTTACGCACTCCGTCTTGCTGTTGTGATCCATTTTACAGCTAAATATAATCCAATGGTCATCCAAAATGCTAGAATTCTTTTTTAGTTCATTTGAACCCCTAAATATTTTGCGATTATCTCCAAAAGCAAAGTAGTGGTCCATTCTACCCGCTGTCCTAAACTCTAACTTCATGCGAGATTTCGTGTCCTTTGGTTTTTATTTGTGACCTTTATAACTGCTGGAACATTTTTAGTTTTTGGTCCATTTCAACCCCTAAATATATTGCGGACATATTTGAAAACAATAAGCCTAGCCCTTCTGAGCCTAACCATACCCTTGTGAACATTTTCGTGGGGATCGGGCGGTAATTGCAATCTGCATATAATAACCCCAACCTGTAAATATTACAAAATTTTTTCTTCAATATTATAAGTCAAATTGAAAAAATCGCATGCGATAAAAAATATGAAAAAATAAAAATATGTAACAAAATACTACAAAATCTATATTAACATCATTATAGGTATCTTTTTAAGCGATTTTATTCTTTTATGCCAAGAGGGCATTCTGAATTGACAAAATTTGTCAAAATCGGTTCAGCCATTCTTGAGATATAAGCATTCTAGCTAACATCAATTTGCTTTGTATATACACATTGTATATATTGCGCTATATATATCCGATGTATTTACTAACGGCATCTACGTAACGGTCAGTATTGACATTTTCGTCCAGATTAAAATATTCGCGGTTTTATGGAAATTTTGCCTTTTATTTAACACAAATGTAATTGCCTATTTCACCCACTAAATATTACCCGATGACCATCAAAATTGGAAGGCTTCTGCCCATTTCTAAGCTTTATCCCCATGCCAACCTCCCTTTCAATTGGTCTTTAATTGCGACCTGTAGAGCAACTGCAAAATCAGGACATTTTTCAGTTTTGGTCCATTTCAAATATTATGTGATCATCTCCAAAAGCAATAGGCTTCTATTCTGGCTCTAGCCCCACCTCCATTCTAAATTTCGTGAAGATCGAGCCATAATTGCGACCTGTAGAGTGATTACAAATTAACATGGACAGACGAAAAGACGGACGGACGGACATACATAGCTAGATCGACTCAGCTCGGCGAGATAGGAAGATCCATATATACTTTCCTATGTGGAAAACCAATATTTCGAGGTGTTATATAATTTTTGGCCCAATCAAACTTATAATACCCCCAACAGATAGTGTTGTAGGGTGATTTCAAAATTTTCAAACACTACCGGTCAATATCTTTTTATTCAGAATTGGACCTATCTACAGATTTTAGGTATATTTTAAGGGACGTTTTTGCATTTTCTTTCCTATCATATAAATTTTTTGTTTATGAACTTTCCCTTGAGCTAGACAATCATATTTTTTATGACGAATTCAATGACTTCGAAATTTTTCTTTCAATAAATCATTTTAGTAGAATATTCTTCCATGAATCACCTGCTCAAAAGTCATGCCATAATCGGCAGATTCACCCCCTTCTAGTGACGATAGTCATTAATTACAATTTAACTACAAATAAATTATTAAAGATATGCCGGCCACAAAGACACCGAATTGTTATTTTCCTTTCAATTATAAACCAAATACAAATATTTGTGGTATTATCTATTTACCACCAAAAAAAAATAAAATAATAATGACGATATCTCATTATGATATGATATGATTGAAAAATATGAAGATATTATTCATTGAATGTTATATTTAGATTTTGAAAAAAAAAATATGAATATAAATATAACGATTTGCCGTTGTGCGTAAATAGTTTAGAGGAAAGCCTTAACTAAGCCAGATGGCTGGGAAATTTACGGTTGTTATTTTTCTAACTTTCTTATTTGGACTCTGCCAATTGGCTGCGGCGGCCGATTGGGATACGGCCAGTGATGGACGTCAGTATTTAATTGAGACATCCGTTGGGGTAAGGATTATTACAGCAGCTTTTTGTGGAGTAAAAGATCTAACAAAAGGACTCAAATTTTATTTTAGTACAACTGGCTGCAGGCCGTGGATCAGTGTTCTCGACGCGGCCTCCAATTGGTGGTCATCGATAATGAGGTGAAGAACAATGCCATCATTGATTTGATCAAATCCAAATTTGGTAAGTTGATAAAATTTAAATTTCAAAGAAAACAAATTTAATTGTCCTCCCTTTTTATTAAAGGATCAGCAAAGGACTTATGGATTGGCCACCACGACGAATATAATACGAAAAAGGATAAAAATCGTCCATGGTACTCCATTGCAACGGGACAAGAGATCACCTTTAGCAATTGGTATATAAGTGAACCGAACAATTACAAGTCCCAGGAACACTGTGCCGAAATGAAAAGCTCGGCGAAATTCCAATGGTATGATGAATCATGTACAGACTCGTATTACGGCTACATTTGTGAGGAACACTACAAGACCACACAGTGTCACAATGATGTACAGGCCAAACACTATTCGACGAATGAAAAGAATGCTCTCCTATCTTCCGATTTTACCGAAACACAAACGAATATTCAAAATCAACTCAATCAAACAAGGAATGAGACAAATGCGGCCTTATTAAATTGGAACAAATCATCTGAAGTGGTGTTTGAAAATTTCAAAAAATCTCTCGACGGATATTTGAAAAAGAAACCCTATTTACAGGCCGTTGTGGCCGATATTGGTGATGACATTAATGCCTTGGCCGTGGAGGCAAAGAATGAAATTCTCAATTTGAATCAACAGACCCAAGAATCTTTGGCCAATGTTCAATTGAATGCCGAACAATCGGTAAATAATGAAACATTAGCATTTGCTGAAAAAATTAAAATTCACAACAACGAAGTGGATAGCCTAATGAGCTATTAGCCGAATTTGTGTTATAATTCTTCTTGTATATATATATTAAAAGTTAATAGTTCTCATGTAAATAGATTTGTAAATATATAATCATACAGCTAAAATATGAAAGCATAAGCGCATATGTGTTTTTTAGCCAGGACTAAATGAACATACTCTGAGATTGAGAAATACAGGATGAGATAAAAAAATGCAACAAAGTCAAACGTCATAATTTTTAAATTTTTTAATTTTTATTGAATGAAAGCAAAAAATGTCGGAAATTAAATTTTCGAATGTGTTTAGATTTGTTCGAATTCGTCGCCTTTGACACGAATTATGACCTTCAAACGGTCAATGAAACCGTCACACGCAGCCCGAATGTTGCTCTGCGGTATTTTGGCCCATTCCCGGTGAAGCGCTTGCTTGAGGTGATCGACACTTTGGTATTTTTCGGTACAAACCTTGCTTTCCAAAAAATACTCCAGACACAATAGTGCAACGGATTGTTATCCGGAGATTTTAGTGGCTATTGTGCGCTGGAAATGAAGCAAGGAACCTCATTTTGTAACCATTCTAGGGTTGCGCGTGTTGAGTGCTATGGTGTGGAATCCTGTTGGAATGTCCAAGGTCTGCGGCCAAAATGTTTGCGTGCCCAAGGCTTTGAAACACCCTCCAGAATATTTTCGCGATAACATTCGTCATTTATTCTGATGCCACGGTCGATTAATACGGGCGGGGAGCGACCATCGCCTGTTATGGCGGCCCACACCATCACCATGACTGGCGCTTGAGTTCTGGTGACCAACCGAAGGTGCACATTTTCAGCTGATCTCTTTGGCATGTAAAAACGATCATTTTGTTTCTTAACAAACTGCTGGACAACGAATGTTTTCTCATCGGAGAAAACCAAATTCGGTAGTTCACCATTTTCGGCCAAGCGAAGTAACTCTTAAGTTTTTTTGAGTCTTTTTCTTTTTGTTGCGGTGTAACTTCTTGCACTTTTTGGAACTTCAATGGCTTTACCCCGAGCTCATTTTTTGTTAACGTGAGCTCTACTAAATATGCATAGTGGTGTAGGATATCATATAATCGGTCCCGCCCGACTTTTGATCTTTCCTAATTGCTTAGTACTCGAAATTCACAATTTAGAGACTTTCATGGTTTTAAATATTATTTAAGTGTTTCCTTTTCCGAAATTGATAATGCCTTTTAAACTATAATGTCTTCAAAATCTTTCTTTTTGACATTTATCGATGAGGATAATGGTAAAAAAAAATACCCAATGGACCAATATCCATTTTTTGTCCAAAACTATTTTAATATCTCTATATGTACACCCTAGAATACATCAGCGACCAAATACCAAATTTAGTACGTATATTCAGAACAATCTAAATCTCACCAACCAAAACACCAACAGTGACCCAAAATTATTACACTTTAGCACTTTTCGAACAATTATAGTACTCATTTTCAAAACCAACACCCGATCCCAACACCAGATACCGACAGTGACCTCAATATCAAATTTCGCAATTCCAGCTCTATACATTCAATACCAAATTAGTAACTTTTAGCTCTTTTCGTGTTATTTAAGTACTCCATATCTCAATCCATATTCCCACCAACTATTAACGCAATATAATATTTTACGGTTTCAGATCTGTCCCTTCACCCAATATCAATTTGGTACCGTTTAGTATGTTTCGTACAAATATAGTACACATTTCCAAAATCACCTCCGCATCTTAACCACAGACACCAGCTGTGACATCTATATAAAATTTCAGTGTTTCACCTCTCTTCCTTCACCCAATACCAAATATAGTTCAATTCACAACTTTCCGTACAATTATAACACACATTTTCGAAACCACATATGAACAGCGACCTTAATACCACATTTAAGATTTCCAGCACTATCTGCTCACCCAATACCAAATACAGTACTACTACTAAGTTAAATTTAAAGTGGAATATGCCACCAAACAAAATTCTAATAATGAAATATGTTTTTCATTTATCACCACAATTCCACAAAAAACGCTCTTGAAAAAGTTGGAAACAATCCAACGAAACGTTGAGCAGAACATGAAATAAATTCGTTTATTTTAATTTAATTATCTTGACCATAAAAGCCCAATAAACCTATATTGAATAATTTCAACATTGGTCAACAAAATACACTTCTCAAATAATACTTCTTAATACTTTTCGCGGCCTTCACAAAATTTAAAATTTTAAATTTTCTGCTTCATCCGTACTGTACTGTATGTTTGTAAGTGCAAGCAAAACACGAAGACGATTAGATAGCGATATTTGCCACTAAGCGAATATGTGACCTAGAATTCCTCGGAAAATATCTCCGTTCACTTATTTCGATTTTGCATCCTTCTACTCATTACAATTTCCCACCTGTTCGTTTCAAACGCTCGCTATATTTTTTGTAATAACTGTCTCACAAGTACGCATAACTTATCTGTTACTCGAGGACATAGTACTACTTAAGAATTAAGCTGCGACAACAAACACCATAATTTTTATGTGTGGCGCATTCATTATGTATTATTTTTTTAAGTCAATAAAAGTTCTTAACTATTAAATCTATAATCTATATTATGTATAATAATATTAATATGTATAATCATGAATAAAATTGCAAAATAAAAATCTTAAAAAAATCGTCAAAAAGCCTTAACAATTTCCTTGTATAATTGTCATGATAATAACATGAATTGTCAAATTAGTAACTAATCTCAAAACGATTTCAATCAAAATCATGTCATGTATATTCCTTTTTCAATCAAAATCATGCCATGTATATTCCTTAATATCTTGTAGCATCCTGGCTTTATGTGAATCTAAAATCCATCGAATGCTAACAATTTGTATGTGAGCTAAATGCTCGGTGGTAAAACGCTCATGCAACCATTCTAAAAATTCAGTTTTATGAAATTGCTGGAGATTTATAAAAATATACGATATTTTTGATAAAACTTCGTCGCGATTAAATTCCGTTTCTTCAATATTACGATCACATATAACATTTCCGGCATGCCATTGAAAATTAAGTTTAGCATGTATAGAATCGTGTTCAATGCTATAGAAATAACCGTTCTTATTGCGAAAGAAATTAATGTTCTTAATGGGATAAATAAGATTTTCCAGCTCATTTAAAGCTTCGTCATCTAGTTCAGGTACATTGTCAATAATCATGGCATCACATATACGCTTGAGTTGTTTGGAACGCACAAAGGTGGTATAATGGTCACCATATTCATCAAATACCTCGGCGAATTTTTCCTTAACCTCTGGTGTAATGCAAATAAAATCCAAAGGTGTTATATCTATGCGTTGTTTTTCACACGTTCGCAGTAACCAATCCAAACTGACAATATCATATTTTTTGGATTTACATAGGGCTTGAACACGTACCGAAATATCACCGGCAATTAAAATACAACTGGGATTATTGGGCAGAGGGTTTTCCACAATTGTGCCACCATTCTGGACCACCAACGTTTTCAGATATTGTGCGGTATAACGTCTGTTTAGCGCAGCACTTAATATGCAAACACTAAAGCCCTCAAAGAGTTGGGAAGTCTTTTCCACCTGAAATAAAGCAAAAAAAACATCTAAATTATTCTTTGTTCGTCCTCCGTTATTTGTCTACTTACATTATTAGGATCAAATTGCTTTTCATAGGATAACAAACCCAAATTCCGTTTTTCTGCCGGCGTTAGTTTTCTCCTCTTGCTTTGGCTGCCAATAAAATCATCCAAGCTAACGTTTCTCTTGACAATCTTCTTTATTCCACTTCCTTTGGAGTTTTGCTTCAACTGCTTATACTCCTCTAGCGAAAGACATTCATGCCATGCCTTATCATTGCGCCACATTTGTATACGTGGAAAATGCAAAGACATACTAAGTGCAAAAGCTCCGGATGGATTCAAATCGGCAGCCTTTATTTGTAGGATCACTGAATTCCTGGGTTCAATCCAAACATCAGGACGTCCCTCGGCATTTGTGTGGCGATAATGATACCACAGCGGTGGTTGTTCTTGTGACAACAAATGCCAATGACTGTTCAATGTGTTGTTGAGTAGAACGCGCTGTTGGGTACAATTGCTAACCTTGCCCACGGAGTAGACTTCAAATTGTTGGTGTGAAATGTATTTCAAGACACCAACCAAAAATGATTCTACAAAAGTTCTGGCACGATTGTAAAAGCCGCCAATGACTAGTAAATCGAATTCGGTTGTTAAGCCGTCAATGTGCTGTAAGAAAAGAAGTGAAGAAAAAATCAATAAATAATTGTTGAAATGTAAAATAAATAAATAAAGAAAATAATAAAAATAAATAAATAAATTAATTAATTAATAAATAAAAACGATAATCAGAATATCCCACCTACCAAATTGCCTATGTACTTTTTTGGATAACATGGGGCATCTGCATAGTAGGTGTAGGAGTTCCCTACATCTTCTTAGTTTTCACATAGTCTACAGAAGTCAGAACCACTGTTATCCCATCTTGAGGCCAGATTTCTAATACTAAAGTGGCCAGCAAGTATGCTTAAAGCGATTCTTAGATCAGACCTTCTAGGTGTTAGAAGGGAGCTTGTTCTTCTTCACAATATTACCGGCCAGATAGCCTTCTAGCTTCTTTGAAGAGATAGGATGCCTGTATAGTAGGAGTTCAATCGTCCCCAACTCTTCTTAATATTCACATAGTCTACAGTAATCAGGACCACTGTCTTGAGGTCAGATATCTGATATTGCAGTGGTCAGTCAGTACCTAACGCGATTCTTACATCAGACCTGCTAGGTGATAAATGGCAGCTTATTCTTCTTCTCGAGATTACCGGTCACATGGCCTTAGATACCTTGCAACGGGTGTTCAAGTGTCATCTTGAGGTCAGATATCTGATTTTGCAGTGGTCAGTCAGTAACTAACGCGATTCTTACATCAGACCTGCTAGGTGATAAATGGCAGCTTATTCTTCTTCTCGAGATTACCGGCCACATGGCCTTAGATATCTTGCAACGGGTGTTCAAGTGCCATCTTTTTCGAAGAGGCTGACTTGTGGATTGCAAGAATGAATCAGACTGAAAAAACGCTACAGTTCTTCTTGGAACCATCTGTGTAAATGACCAGACCGTCCAGATTAGGCCCAGACTTCCCTATGAGGTATAGTTACGCAAAGTAATTGAAGTCGATACAAAGCATATAACGATTTATTGGTATGTTCAGGATTCGTCCATGACCAAACCGTGAATAGTCTTCCTTCCCTATGACTTTCCTGCATGAATCACCAGAAGCCAAAGCAGAAGTGAGAGAATTTCTCCCTGCGGTGTAGCTCTGCTGACAGTTTTCCTAATTGAACTCCCCGCGAAGCTTGAATTTTAGCAATTTTAGCATTCTATCAATCCAGAGGCATAGAGAGCATTGAGAATCGAATACAGCTTCACATTGCTGAAAGCCTCATCTACATCGAGAAAAGCTGCGAATATGAAGAGGGAGTTTTTTCTATTTTTTTCTCAACGTATGCGACAACATTTTGTAAGGCTGACTCCACTGACTGGTCTTCGGCATAAGCATGCTGAATATACTTATTATATTTTTAAATAAATGTTCATGATTTTCCAGGTCTAGTAGTCTTTCCTTCGTTTTCATTGTTCTCTAATCTAATACCTACAAAATGAGTTCTCTTGTTACAATAAAAGCTTAAAGCTTAAAAGACTATGCGGATTCTTTATAAATTAGGCCCTTTTGAAACTGATTATATAAATATAACAAAAAATTCTACTTACATCTGCCTTCACCTTGTACCATCCACTGCCGTTGCGACATCCCGGCCGATAGATGGCATTTTGTTTCTTCAAAACAACACCTTCGGCATGCTGATCCAGGGCTTGTTGAAATTTCATGCGAAAATCTTCAACACTCAAGACTTTTTCACTTTTCATCAATTGCAAAACTCCCTCCTGTTCCCTTAACAAGCTACGCAACTTATACATTCTTTGTATATATGGAATACCCAACAAGTTCTGGCCATTCCAATACAGCAAATCATAGACCACAAAACAGGGCTGCCAGCTACGTTCCTCTTTCAAATGTTTTACATCTGTATTTTCACCCTTTTCCCGATATTTGTTATTCAAACTATCCCAAACCATCATTTCTCCATCCAAAATAATCGATTGCATATCGATGGGTAACAAATGTACCAATTTCATTGTCAATTTATTCTCCTCGTCATAGCTGGAGCCAAAGCTATTTGTATAATCGATGCCATTACGTGAAATATATTTAAAACAGCCATCTTTGTAGTGCAATTGAAAACGTTCACCATCCATTTTCGTTTCCATATAAAGGACATCTGAGGCCATAATTTGTTCCATATTTCCGGGAAAAACTTCACACAGCTGTGGACGTACATGTTCAAAGGGTGTAATGTCTGCCACCAATGGAGCCGGACCATTTCCTAGCTGTTGTGAACTGCTGTTAATCAGCGCGAATTTATTATCAGCCAAATGACAACAAAGTTTTGATAAATTAGCACAGGCTTGATACATTGCTTTGGCCTGATCATGTAGAAGATCAAAAATACGTTGTTCACCTATTGCCAAGTGCATCGTTTTGAGTAGCAGACGAACAAACCACATTTGTTCTTCGGCTGAGGCAATTTGTGAAAGTTTGGTTAAAACATTTTCCGTGTCTGTGAGAAATTAAAAGGTCAGATGGTAAAAAAATTATGGAAATATAAAATGGTCTCGTACTTTAAAACGATTTGAATGAAAATTTACGGAATTAAGTCGATTAAAGTTTTTGGTATTTTGTGAAGCAAAAATGTTTTCGCTGCGATAATATCTCTTTTCGAATCGTTTTAGAACAACAGGCCAAATTAAGAAAGGATCATGAACTTACTCAGTAAATTTTCACTTGCCACACTGTCCAACATATCATGAACTTCTTTCAGGGTTAAATCACTCGGACTATTTGAACATCTGGGTTTAAGAATCCGATAAACTCTCTCCGCATAGTCACCACGAATACTGCAAAAATTTCGTGCTTCCAATAGTTCAGCTTCCTTTGCTAAAAGTAAAATTATGAATATATATATGACGGCAAATAAAAATTAAAGAATTAAGCAAAATTTCAATTTAATTCAAATAAAAATAAGCAATTTATGCTGCTATAAAACTGAGGGCTTACAATTATTGATATCTTGTCAAATTGATATATATTAGCTGCAAGGCAGAGTTCTCATACAAAAGATTGAAGTTTATTTAACTATAAAGATCAATTAAGAAATCAAACTTCATCGCTTACTCACTGAACTGGCAACCATGCATATTCTTTCTAAAGCTGTAGCTGTTCGCATCTTTAAACCTAATATTATCTGTCTATCACCAAATCCGAAGCAGTAATTTTCGTTACCATAAATATCAAGTTTCAGGATTCCAGCTCTATTCCACACTTTTCCAAAACTACCTCCATATATTAACCAAAGACACCAACAGTTATCGCTATATAAAAATTCAGTATTCAGCTCTATTTATTCACCCAATACCAAATTTAGTACTAGTTAATAATTTTTAGTACAGATTGCCAAAACCAAATTTATATATCAATTCCTGATACCAACAGACACCTTATTAACAAATTTGAGGATTCCAGCCCAATCCCTTCATTCAATTCCAAATTTAGTACCATTTGGTACTTTTCGTAAAAAACCAACGCCATTAGTAATCTAAACATCAAATTTCAGAATTTTATTTCTAGCCATTAACCCAATACCAAATATAGTACCATTCAGTTTTTTTTTTTTTTTTTTTTTTTTTTGTACAATGTGCAGGTCTAATACCAAAATTTCAGATTTCAAGAGCTATCTGTTCACCCAGTACCAAATCGTACCAATTATAGTAAGATAGGACTTTTCGTGCACTTCCAAAACCACCTCTTTATCACAGACCTTCCACAAACAGGAACTCCAATACCATCATTTCAAATTAACAGCTTTTTCCGTTCAACGAAAACGGAATTGTGTAAAATTTAGAACCATTTAGTAGAGTTCTTACACTATCCGTACATCCGCACTCACGTACACATCACCAAGACCACCTTCAAATTTTAGTACTTCTCGTACTCTGTTAGTACCTTTTTATATAGATTCACCTCCACGACATCAGTATGCTCAAGTGTCAAAATACAATTTCAAGAGAATCCAGGAATATAAAAATATTTCCATATTTACTCAATCAAGGATTTTTTAACAGGCAATGAATCTATCCTTTCATCGGCGTAGCTAAAAACTACAGCCTTCTCCCAGGCTCGTAAGAGCAGATTATGATCACTGACGCAATGTCAGACACCATTCTAAGCTACAATGTGGCGAAAATAAATATCTTTATTTTCTACGTTTCCTGAATCCCCAACTGGAAATTTGATAGTTCCACTTCTATCTTCTTGAAGATGTCATTAAAAATGAGCTTTCTAATGGATATGAGTTTACTTCACTGGATGTAAAGTAGGTTTCACTTAAAATATTTACACCTATCGCCTTTCAGTGTCAATTCAAACGCAGATGGGTTAAATTATCTCATAAGAGAAATGCAGTATTTGCCGACTAAATAATTGTTTCCTGGAACATTATCTAACCCTTTGATGGAAAAGCCAGATCTATTGCCTTTGTAATAATTATAGAATATTCCTTGGTCACATTAAATGATTAAGTGTAGGAAGAAAATACGACCATCGCTTTCCACGATTCTGTTGGTGATTCCACGTTGAAAGCGAAGTGGGATCAGTCTATCTGGTTTGCAATATACACACCCCGTTAATTTTTCAGAAATTCTTGCTAAATAATTGGGCTTGTGTTCACAGCCCATAGTAAAGGACAGGAATTGTAGTGGACAGAGACAGAGACTTCCTCAATAATCTTCCTTTATGATCCGATGATATTATTTCCTTCGGTCGAGTTAAAAACAAATTTCTTTGTCGTTTCTTTTGAAGAACCACTATATAACTTCAACATTTCAAATTGTTTACTTGCAATGTGGTGTACCAATCATATATCGTGCATAGATTACCACTACAGCTGCAAATTGTAGAAATAAACAATCAATTCTCATCTCCTAGCAAATCCTTTTCGGTATTTTTCATTGTTACATCCAATACCTAATCTAGAACCAAAAACTGCTTCTCCACTCCAATAACTTACACTGTGCACTCAGTTGTAAAGCTTTGATGTAAACCCTTCCCAGTGTTGGCATTTGTAGACCATACGACTGGCGAGCCGTATCTGCTTTCGGTATAAGACAACGAAGTATACAATAGAAACTGCTGCGTCCATCCTTATAAAAAAAGGAAAACATTGAGAGTATAAAACTTTCTTAGTTTAAAAATCCAAATCACTTACCTCTGGCATATCAGGCTTCAACTTTTGCTCCTCTCGAAATCTCTCGCGATGTTTACAAAACGATGCATAGTACTGTTTAATAATACGACATTTCTTATCCTTATTATCGGTTTTCCGCACACGATTTAACAGAGAACAGATGTCACGGAATTTGATTGTTTCGGAAATGTCCATGTTTACGGAGTCAAACAAGAGGAAGATTGGACACAGATGTGGGATAGGAGACTGGACCAAACGATTCAAAACATGGTGAAATTATTTGTTTTTTAAATCAGCTGTTGTTTACAATTTGAGCAAGTGAAATCTGTCAACTACAGTTGGGTCTGTTTAGTTGCTTTTGGTGACAATTGTTTGTAAACGGACGTTTACAAAGGACAATTTGCATTAAATAAGATTAGTATTTCGTAATGTTTTCATAAAACGCGTCATTGAAAAGCTCATTTAGATAACAAGTTTCATGTCAAAAACATAATTGTTATTTCCAATTCAAAGAAAGCCAAATCATTGCATCATCATGCAATTTTTTTCGATATCATAAAGGGAAAATCGGCAATCGTAGTAAAAACTTTTAAATTCCTGTAGTTCTGGCACAAACCATTTGTTTTCAATTTTTTGTCAAATGCAGCAGGTGCGGAAGGACAAGGCTCTGCACATATTTTATCATTCCAAGAGTACCATCATGATAAAATTAAGGAGGTAAAGTCATTACAAATAACATTATCCATTTCTGCATTTTCTGTAATTTACTTTGTCAAATTTCACTGGATACAGAACAGGTTCCCATCTTTGATTTCTGTGTATACAATGGATTTATAAATATAAATTTTGGCAATAAGATGTTGTCAAATAAATAATTTTGAAAAAAAAATTAAACATATGATTGTTTTCTGGTGATATTTTTTCTACTCTTTTTTTATAAACTTGAATTCGCAGCAAATGTATGCATCCAAAACAAAGGTCAAAACATCATTGACAATGGTCAAAATCTATCGCCTAACACCGCTATAAAATTTATATTTTTATACCCTCCACCATAGTATGGAGGGTATATTAAGTTTGTCATTCCGTTTGTTACACCTCGAAATATACATTTTAGGCCCAAAAGGTATACATATTCTTGATCAGCATAAAATTCTAATTCGATTTAGCGATGTCCGTCCGTCTGTCTCTCTGTGGAAATCACTCTAGCTTCCGAACGAAATGAAGTAGGTTAATAAAATGGTACTCAAATGTATATTATGCCTGCAGGGCTTTTGGTATTGAAAATGGGCCATGTAGGTCCATGTTTTGGTATAGCCCTCATATAATAGTATCTCCCTATTTTCGGTATTTTGGTGATTTTGGCGACATTATTCACCGGAATTGTTTCAAATTTGGTATTTGAAGTTCGTAATGGATGCTACTGCCTAAAACAGAAAGTTGTCTGTGCAGGTCCACGTCTTCGTATAGCCCCATATAACGGTACCTCCCTATATTCGGTATTTTGATGATATTTGCGACTTTATTCACCGGAATTGTCTCAAATTTTGTATTTGAAGTTCGTAATGGATACTACATCCTATGACAGAAAATTGTCTGTGCAGGTACACGTCTTCGTATAGCCCCCATATAACGGTACCTTCCGATATTCGGTATTTTGATGATTTTAGCTACATTATTAACCGATTTTTTTCAAGTTTCGCAATTGGATATTGTAATGGCTTATGACAAAAGTTGTTGTCAAATTCATTCTAAATGGTGGAGGGTATTCAAAGAATTTACATCATTTTTACTTGTTTTTATATTATTTTTCCTCTGTGACTATCTTAATATTGTGACTATCCCCATATTATGGCCAGTTGATAGGTGTTTTCTTTCTTTAGCTTTCAAATTATTCTTATATCGACCATATCGGTTCAGTAGATCCAAGTCATAGAATGGGAAATTTTGAGATCAAATATCCGGGTCCGTTCAAGAAAAATTACTTTCCCGGAATCAGGATACAAATGCCTACCCATGGCAGAAGAATACATGTAGATGCATCGACACATCTGCTGGGACAATGAACTGTTAAACCGATTTTTTTTATCGAAAATCGTGAATGAAATATTATTGAAATTTGTAAAAATTGTTGAAAAATATATATCATTACAACCTCCGATTTGCGTCGTATAAGAAAGCATATAAAAGTCGACTAGTTTTCGACAAAGCACTTACAAAATTTTTTGACATATCAATGTTCCCAAGCGTTGATGCATATTCTTCTACCATGTGCCTACCTATGGAAAAATTCAAAAAAACCGAGAGTTTTTACTAAAGTTAAACCAAAACAAGTTAAAAAGTATCAGTCGGTATTGCCGACAGATATATACCCTCAGCCTATGTTCGATTAAATAATCGAAATATATTTGACGAGTGTTACAGTTATTAAAACGTTTGACACTCTATGGAGCCGGTTCCGAAGGAATGGGTCAATATTGTCCATTTTGTATCAGACCCAAAAATATGTCAAAATGTGCGTGGTGTACCATATAGAGTCTACAGGAATAATCCATTTTTATACTTCATCTGATACAAATAAAAAAATTGAGCGAAATATTGGGCTAAATTACAAGAAAATTTATGTCCAATTTTATGCGAAATCATAAATTTCGATAAATGTCATATTCATATCAGGCTTCTTATTGAGAGAAATATTTGAGCATAGCGAGTAGTAAAGAATTGTTAAATTGTTTCGAAAGTTATGACAGATAAAATTATTGAAAATTGGGACCCGTTGTGGGTGAGGTACCAGAAGGGGTTCGCAGATATATATCAACTTCATAACAGATTTTGTGTTAGCAAACAAATTTGTATGTGTGAAATTTGAAGAGATTTGGATGCTTATTTTGCTTCATTTGGGCGTTTTGTTTTTCAAAATCTTGAACCCTAAGTATGGGGGAGGTACCAGAAGAAATGGTTCGATCTATACCACCTTTATAACAGATCTTGTGTTGATAGAAATATTGGGATGTGCCAAGTCTAAATAGAATCGGATCTTAATGTGGCGTTTTATGAGCTTAATGGGTATTCAAAATTTCGACACTTTGTGGGGGAGGTACCAGAAGGAGTGGACCGATACATTCCATGTTAACAGCAGATCCTGGGTTTATAAAAATATTGGAATGTGTGAAATTTGAAGACGTTCGGATCCTTATATCACATTTTATAAGAGCTATAATTATTCAAAACGTTGACCCTTTTAGCACATGACCTAGCACTGACGCAAATATTAGGATTTGCAAAGTTAGAGCAAAATCGGGTAACCGTTTCTCTTTCTGTGCAAAAAATATATTTTATATATATTTTTTGAAAATTTCGACCTTTTGTGGGGGAGGTACCAAAAGGAGTGGACCGATGTATTCCCTCTTAACACCAGACCTTGGGTTAGTAAAAATATTGGGATATGTGAAATTTGAAGACAATCGGACTCTTACATCACATTTTATAAGAGTTGTAATTATTCAAAATTTTGACCCTTTGTGGGGAAGGTACTTGATAGAGTGGCCCGATATTGTCCATTTTCGCACTTGACCTAGAACTGATGCTAATATAAGGATTTGCAAAGTTTGAGCAAAATCGGATTATTGCTTCTCTTTATGTGCAGAAAAAAAATATTTTTTTGTTTTTGAAAATTTCGACCTTTTGTGAGGAAGTTACCCTAAGAAGTGGACCGATACATTCCATTTTCACACCAGACCTTGGGCTAATAAAATTATTGGGAGGTGTGAAATTTGAAGACAATCGGACTCTTATATCACATTTTATAGGAGTTGTAATTATTCAAAATTTTGACCCTTTGTGGGGGAGGTACTTGATGGAGTGGACCGATATTGTCCATTTTCGCACCTGACCTGGCACTGATGAAAATATTAGGATTCGCAAAGTTCGAGCAAAATCGAATTATCCTTTCTCTTTCTGTGCAATAAATGATTTTCTTTGAAAATTTTTACATTTTGTGTGGGAGGTACCAGAAGGAGTGGACCAATATTGCCCATCTCCGAACTCGATCTAAGTTTGACAAAAATATTACGATGTACCAAGTTTGGATCAAATCGGATACTCCCTTCGAGAGTTATCGTGCGCACCAGCCAGACAGACGGACGGACGGACATAGGTAGATCGACTCCAAATGTTCTGAAACGGATTTGGTCCAAAGAGACCTAGGGTCTAAAACCATTATTTCGACTAGGCACGTTTTGACCGTATCAAATGATATATACCCGTATATATGGCTGAGGGTATAAAAAGTTTTTAATAGTCACGTAATTCGTCGACATTTTAATTATTTTTTCTACAATTTTTCCAAAAGTGGTAATATCGTTGCTATATGAACAAGTTTCAATTAAATTTTGCAAAAATATTTCATGTATTAAATTCACAGCAGTTTTTTAAAAGATGTATAGTAAGTAACTTGTTTATTAAGCACATAAATAAATGTAAACATTATTTTAAAAGTCGCCAAACGCTTTCCGCCTTGATTACAGACGCCAGCCGCATTTTCAAAGCTTCAGCGGTGTAACAACGCCCCAAGGCACGTGTGGCTATTCTCTTTGGCATTCATAATATTTACATTCCATTTGATTCACCAAACAGAATCATTTCAATTTCAAATAGAATAATAGACGGATAAAAGAAAAAGAAGAAAATTAAATATAATATTGTGGCTGTTCGTAGTGATTGCGCACCTCAAGGGGAGGTGAAGGAGAGCAATCATTGATAACATCGAGGAAAACTAAAAAAAAAAACGAGGAAACATTCACCGAGGTGTGAAATATTAAAACAATTATACAATCGCCGCGCCATTCAACCGTTTTGCAGCACCACAAAACAACAATCCCTTTTAGTTCCACGATGCTTGTATATCTGCGAACAGCCTGGAGAACATTTACCAAAACTAATGCTGCTGTGCGGGTCATAAAGAAATTCCACCATAAAGCCTTTAGTGAAAAATATTTACTACTGACCAATGTGACAATCTCGCTGGGCTTAAGTAGTGCCGGCGATATATTGGAGCAACAATATGAAATCTATTGCGGTGAATTGGAGAAATGGGATCGTACGCGAACATCACATATGGCTGTTTCGGGCATGACTGTGGGTGTTATATGTCATTATTGGTATCAAATACTTGATTCACGTCTGCCAGGACGCTCCCTTCAAATGGTTATGAAGAAAATTGTGCTGGATCAGTTGATTTGTTCCCCCGTCTATATATCGGCGTTCTTTATTACGCTGGGAATCTTGGAGAGAAAATCCAAAGAAGAAGTATTTGAAGAAATGAAACAGAAGGCATGGAAGTTGTACGCAGCAGAATGGATGATATGGCCAGTGGCACAATTTGTGAATTTTTATTGGTTACCACTGAAATATCGAATCTTCTATGACAATATAATTAGTTTGGGTTATGATGTGTATACAAGCCAGGTCAAGCACACGGATTGACGTTGTTCTTGTTGGCTAATTGTTTGTTTACAAACATTGTAGGTTGTATATTTGTTTTTTTTTTTTTAATTTAAATGTGTTATGCTAAACGACAACAAGTACCTCATAAAGAAATTCTTCAAAAGAATTAAAAAAAGTATATTTAATTAGGGTAATTATTTATGATCTATGTAAAGAAATTGACGATACATAATTTGTACCTTAATACATATTAAGTAAATCAATAAAATAATTGAGGACCAAGTTCGGAAGTTTTGTTTGTATTCATGTAAATTTGAAGATAAATTTTAAAAATGTTGAAAAGTTTTGAATGAGTAAATCAACACTGAAATGAGCCTCCATTATTATGTTTGCATGATTGAATTGTAACGATGTGAGAAAATGTGGCCAATATTAGATTACAAATATTCCGTCATCGTATATTTAGCTACGTGCTTTTAATTAAATAATGAGAAGAATGTGTACCCTTTAATACATACAGGGTGAGATGAAAAAACTGTAACCAACTTCAGACTGCTATAATTTCCAAGGCACTCGTCCGACAGCTTTTAAAATTATTCCAGTGACATTTTGGTGAGAATTTTCTAAAAAAAGGTTGTTCGTGATGGAATTCAAGCGTGAGAGTTTGATTTCTTTATATTTTGGATGGAAAACCACAAGTGGCTATCGTTAGAGCACTACAGCATTTAAATGCGAATAATCTTTTGTGTCTCGTACCATCGCTCATTTCCGTGATACTGGTAACGTAGCCCGACGTCAAGGAAGTGGACGAAAAAAAACAGCAACATCAGCAGAAATTGTTCGAAAAGTAAAGAAGCACCTTGATCAAAATCCGCGTCGCAGTGCCCGAAAACTGGCTCGTGAGCTGAACATATCGCAATATCCCATTCGGCTAATATTGAACAATGAGATTGGGGTAAAGTCGTTGAAATTCCAAAAAGTGCAAGAACTTACACCGCAACAGAAAGAAAATGGACATAGAAGAGCTAAAGAGTTGCTTCGCTGGGCCGAAAGTGGTGAACTGCCGAATTTGGTTTTCTCCGGTGAGAAAACATTCGTTGTCCAGCAGTTTGTAAACAAACAAAATGATCGTGTTTACTTGCCAAACACAGATGAAAATGGGCACCTTCGGTTGGCCACCAGAACTCAAGCGTCGGCCATGGTGATTGTATGGGCCGCCATAACAGCCGATAGACGCTCTCAACTCGTATCAATCGACTGTGGCATCAGAATAAATGCCGAATATTATCGCGAAAATATTATGGAGGATGTATTAAAGCCTTGGGCACGCAAACATTTTGGCCACAGACCTTGGAAATTTCAACAGGGCTCAGCACCATCCAAGAATGGTTACAAAATGAGGTTCCTCGCTTCATTTCCAGCGCACAATGGCCACAAAAATCTCGGAATACCAATCCTTTGGACTATTGTGTCTGGAGTATTTTTGAAAGCAAAGTTGGCCCAAGAAATTACCAAAGTTTCGATCACCTCAAGCAAGCGCTTCGCCGGGAACGGGCAACATTCGGGCAGCGTGTGACCGTTTCATTGGCCGTTTGAAGGCTATAGTTCGTGCCAGAGGAGGATTCGAACAAATCTAAACTTCAATCAAATTTGAAAAGTATGTAAAAATTATGGCGTTTGACTTTGTTGCAGTTTTTTATCTCACTCTGCAATTATAAAAATGCTGTGGGTATTTGAATTTCTGTATAAAACATGAGATCCATGGAACATGAAACCATAACTTATTGACTGTTGGTCGAACATTTCCATCACATTTGAAAATATTTTGCCATCTTAAATGAAAAGTATGTAAAAATTATGGCGTTTGACTTTGTTGCAGTTTTTTATCTCACTCTGCAATTATAAAAATGCTGTGGGTATTTGAATTTCTGTATAAAACATGAGATCCATGGAACATGAAACCATAACTTATTGACTGTTGGTCGAACATTTCCATCACATTTGAAAATATTTTGCCATCTTAAATGAAAAGTATGTAAAAATTATGGCGTTTGACTTTGTTGCAGTTTTTTATCTCACTCTGCAATTATAAAAATGCTGTGGGTATTTGAATTTCTGTATAAAACATGAGATCCATGGAACATGAAACCATAACTTATTGACTGTTGGTCGAACATTTCCATCACATTTGAAAATATTTTGCCATCTTAAATTATAAGGCATCCTTTGCTATATAGTGCTGGGAATTGCTGGCTTTGGGTACTTCATCCACAACCCTGTCGTTATTAACAATACCGAATTTCAGTGTGAATTCATTTTATTCATTCATTAGAACTCCTGGATTTTTCATAATTTCAAACACATAATTAAATACCAGGAAACGCTAGCCAGCAACACTGCAAAGCTGTATACATCCAAATACTTTCCACATCTCTTTAGTTTTTACGATTACCCCGCCTACGCATTGATGCCGTACACTTGGGACAATACCATTTGCCCTTGGGTGGTTGTGTTATACCAACACAAGGATAATGAAACCATTCATAGGGACATGCATCATTGTCACAGGCCACCATATCGCCATATGACACTTGATTACATGTACAATAACGTGGTTCATTTGGATCGTAGGACCATTCGCCGTCTGGTGTTTGTTCCACAACCATGCCATTTTCATTGAGAGTAATATTAGAGCCCGGAGTAAGGGCTGTTGATGTGGACGATGAAGTGGAAGCAGAGGCAGTTGATGACGTCGAACTAAGTGCTTGTCGACTGCTGCCAGCTGCTGATGAACTTGATGCAGCAGCCAATGAATTGCTGGATGAGGCAGTAACATGTTGTCCTGCAGGTATCAGTGATGGAACATTTAAATTTGTGGGCGCCGATGCTGCCAACATATCCACAGAATCTACACTAAGAGATGAAGAGGATGAAGCCAAACTAAGGGCCCCAGCACTGGCTGCTGTTGTTGTATTTGGAGTGCTTATGTTGTGCGATAAGTTTGAATTTAATTTCCTACAACAAATAAAAAGTTTTATTAGTAAGCCATCATTATTAAATATATTTGAAAATTATACTTCGACGTATATTTCTTCTTTGACTTTTCAGTTGAGTTACTGGCCAGCCCTAGAGCGGAGGCAGTAGCAGTGGGATTTGAAATGTCGCGGCTAATCCAAAACTCTGTAGGACCACCACCGGCACCATGTATGGCCTCATAACTGGCTTTCATGCTGGCCGATCTACGCCCTTGCTGCATTTGCTGTGTTGCCACAATAGCTTGTGTAGCAGCCGCAGCTATTGCCGTTGTAGCTGAACCACCAATCTGCTGGAGATTATATGTGACCGGAGAAGGTGTTCCCACTGATCCAGCTGCAGCATTAAGCACTGCACCAATACTCGGAGTTATAGGTCTGACCACAGCAACGGGAGGTGTTCCAGCAGGTGTGAGGCTATTACCCAAATTAGCTCTCTTTTCCGGAACGGCATTCTGTAGAGTTGATGTGGAGTCACGTCGCTTTTCGGGCTTTGGTGTACGATAACGATTATCCTTTGTTGCTCCTGTGGGTGTTGCTGGCACCGTTATGCCACCCATGCCCAAGCCGGCACCGCCCATAACTGCATTGTGGCTACTGCTGCTAGATGGAGCAACAGCGGCCCCCAAACCGCCATAGTATCTGTTCTCTTTTTGATTTAGACCTGTAACACTGAGCAGTGCTGTGGCAGCACTACTGCCGCCATCCATTTCTAAGGAACGTTTTTCCAAAATCTCTGTGATACCATTATTGTCAGCCTCAAGTTCACATTTAAACTTGAACAGTTCACTGTCCAAGCGTCGCAGATACCTTTCAACCAGTTCATGGATTTGTGTAGCTATGGTGACTTTCTCATCGGCATCCTCCAGGACTTTATAGTACTCCTTTCGCAGATTCTGGTACTCACTGTCGGCAGCTTCATCTTGCAGCTCACCACGTTTGCATTGCATAAAGAAGGCGCGGGTTTTCTTCTCCAGGGAATCCATGTTATCTGCAGACAAAAGTGAATTGTTAAAAAGAACATCAAAATGAGTTATGCCGTCAACTTACTTTGCACGGTTAAATCCAGTTCTCTCATTTCGGTAAAACGATCTCGCAGCTCCTGAGGCAAATGCTCAATCACTAAAATATCCAAAAATAAGACGTATAAGAATATTTCCGTAAAATATGTAAATAAAAAACAAACAATTTGCCGTGACCCAAAAAGAACAACTCTTTTGTTTACATTTTTTGAGACACCCAGACTAGCAGAAAAGGGTGTCTCATGACTGGCGTTTTATTGTTTGCTTTCAATTTGCAATTCACACTTACTTTCCAAATAATCCTCTAAATACAACATCTTTTTCAAGCTTGTCTGAAGCAGGAAATTTTACAAATAAAATCTACGAATTTATTTATCTTTGTTATTGTTTATAAACAAAATGTTTAATATATTTTCCACCAGAAAAAGAGTACCTTCAGCCCAAATGTCAATTCTGTTCTGTTCAAAGAACACAAAGTTCAGCATACTGGAGACTTGACGCCGTCATAATTTTCCACTCAACTCAACGTCGGCGTAAAGCGTATGTTTATGTACAAATGTTGCGGTTTACGCAATAACGCGAAAATGTTGCTCAACACAAATGTTGCCTGAGTTTGCACCGTAAGGAAAGAACCATTTAAAAGTTTACATTTTTAACAATGACTATTTGAGCTTAAGCAACATGACAAGATATTTATAATTCTAATTTTTTTAATAAAATAATATCTGAGATTTCCCCCCATTTTAATGGACTTTTTGGTAAAGAAAGAACTTCCAGTTACACTTTCTAATAATTGTTAAAAAATATAGAGAAAATGCATATTTTTTGATTGGTAAGATATACATTAGGTGTTGATAACTAATAACTACTAACAATTTTTATATTCTACACCACATAGTGGTAAGGGCATTATGTGCATTTGTTTGTAACAGGAAAAGAATGCGAGATAGACCAATAGTTACTTTTGAGGATATTCATAGAACCACATTCTGAGGCGATTTATGCATGTCAGTCCGTCTGTCCATGTTCCTTGTGAACAAAAAGCAGGTCGCATTTATTATCTGATTAAGATGCAATTTTCAAAACAATATTTGTTTGGCCTAAGGACGAGCACTATTGAAATTGGTGAGAATAGGTTCAAATTTAGATTAGGTACCTCACATGCGTAATATGTACTCCACAAGATTGATATTTGGTACCGGATATCAGATAATGCTTGAAAATACCTCTGTAAAATTTTATCGAGATCGGTTCATATTAGGATGTAGATCCCATATATATCTTTATCCGATATCAAGTTTATGGCTAATATCAGTCCAAATTACCTGAATTTTGCCAATTACGAATGGAATCATCCTAGAAACCAGTAATTCAAATTTGTTGTAAATCGGTTCAGATATATCTAAAGCATCCATATTTATGTTTTATCCTCAAAAACGTAATATGCATTCCACAACAAAGATCTTTGGCACCAGATATCAGATACAGCCCAGAAATACCTCTGCCTAATTTTATCAATATCGGTTCAGATTTGGATATAGTTCCCATTTATATCTTCAACCGATTTCGGGTTAACAGTGCGCCAAATGGCGAATATAAGTCCAAAAGCCCTGACTTTTGGTACATCCGACCTAATTCAGTCCAGAAGCAAGTACATCGAATTCGGAGAAAATCGGTTCAGATATAGCTATAGCTCCCATATATATGAATCATCCGATTTGGTGTTTAAGTCCCTCACATTCGTAATATCCGTTCGACAACAATGATATTTGGTACCAGCTTTCTTGAAATACTTTTGCCAAATTGTATCAAGATCGGATCAGATTTGGATATAGCTCCCATATATATCTTCAATCTATTTCGTGTTTATTGTGCACCAAATCGCCAATATCAGCCTAAAGTCCTGAATTTTGGTACATCCGACCGAATTTAGTCTAAGATCATGTACATCGGATTTAGAAAAAATCGGTTCGGATCGCATTTTGATTTCAACTGAATTTGAATATTTTTCAATGAAAATATAATTGAAAAGCACACACACATGCACAAATTAATTTGACATAAAAAACCGAATGGTAGCAGTGCCCTACCTATGTGTACAATACGTTTACGCTACTTTGCCAACTAACTATGACATACAAACAAAATGTCATTTTCAAAACCAAATGCATAATTTAAAAGTATCGCAGCATAATACCTTGAGGAACTGGAACTCAAATATCAATTCCTGGGTCTGGAAAATCCTAAAGGAAAAGAAAAACCCCCAACTGTAATTGCCGATTGCAAATAGCTTGCAAGAAATCGATTGTGCAAACAAGTCGATTAATCGACCTACGTATCCCTATTAGAGAGAGCCAAACAAATTGGTCGTGTATTATCCTTACAATAGCAATTCGTCATTCGTGTCGGCCAGTTGGAATGAAAAAAATAACAAAATAATACAGGAAGAACATAGGAGGAATACCATCATAACAAACCAAGTACAAACAAACCTGTCCGCAATAATATTTTTTAAGTGCAAACCAAAAATTAAAAGAGAATAAATAATTGCCGAGCCAAATAAAAGATGTCCTTGCTTTTTTTTTTTTGTAAAAAGATGAATATAATTACGTCCTGCAGACAAACAACAAAATAATTGTTTTAAAATCATTAAAGTGTGTACATAGATGTGCGGGTGTGTGTCAACAAAAAAAAAAGGAAAATTTAACCAAATATTTAAAGTGTAGCAATGTTTGTGGGCCTGAGCATGCCAATGAGAGTAAAGAAATATAAAACAAAGTTAAAAAATTTAATATTGAGTTGACGTTTAGAGAAATTAAAGAAAATTGAAAATATTTCTAAAATTTATTTATTAATAACCTGGCCAAAGAAATTGGATTATGCCTAAAGTTTTAGTGCCACAGGACTTTCAGCCGCAAACTAGCAATAAATTAATAATGTCCTCACACAACAAATTGCCGAAGGAAAATCGTATAATGCCAGAATGCCACAATAGTGCCACCACACCCATGGATCATCAGCATCACTTCTCCGCCACTGATTCAACAGCCAATACGAATTCGGTGCCACAATCGCCGACACAGCTGCTCGATTTTGATGATTTTACTGCGACCAGTAGTATTATGGAATTCCTGAGACAAGAACAGAAATGCGGTGCCGGTGGTGATCTGTTAACGAACGGTCATGATTCCGAAATTGATGCTGAGAGTATTTTTCAAGAAGTTAGCCGTTTGGCAGATAATTCAGATACCCGCAGTGTGGATGAGCTATTGCGTGAAGCTGAATTATTGCTGCAACATCAAAACTTTATGGAAAATATACAGGATAATAAGAATAAAATGTGTAAGGCCAAAACGAAAAGTCCTCGTTCGATGAAGAGCCGCTTGAATAATGGAACAAACACAACAACAACAACATCTGCTGTGCAGACCCCAACTACCACAATACAAATGAATAGCAAATATACGAAAAGTATTGAGAATGTCCCTCCAAAGGAAGCAATGATAAAGCTGTGCAATGGTTATATACCTGCCACAACACCCTTGGATGAGTGTAGTCCTCCGCCCATGACCCCCGAAACTCCAACTGTTACTTATTCTCTGTCAGATATTGGTATTAATGGAAGTGGCGGCGGTGGGCCGGGTTCTGCCATGGCTACTAGTGTTAGTTCTGGAATTGGTAATACATTTACGAATTTTGCCAAAAATATGCCCACAGAATCGGCGATTTCAGAGGAAAGTCCCCTCGTGGAAATGCCCGACGAAAATACGGCAACAATTAATCAATGTTCATCAAATGATAATACCACAAAGGATATAACAACCAAAAATATGTATGGCGATGATGATACCGATGATGGAACTGATACGGTAAGTGTTGGATTACAAATTGTAGCATACTTTGGGGATGTTAACAAAAATAGTATGTGTCTGATTGGCAATTCCTATTTGAAAGGGTGCTGAATAAACAAAATTTATGAAAAAAAAAATTATTATAAATCCAGTACCGATCATATGATACGCTACACAATCTTTAGTTTTTGAAAAGGAAAGTTCAACATTTAATTGGAAAGAATCGTGTAAAGGGTTTCCAATAAGGACTGTTAATTTTACATTCAAAGTAAAATGTTTTTATAGAGATAAGTGATTAGGGTAGGTTTGGCAGGACAATTAAAGATGTGCAGGTCTATATCAAACGCCGGGCAGACGTTACATCTTCGTCAATTCGGGCCTTAGACAAGTTGAGACGACCGCACAATCCTGAACGTAATTGGGTTAAAATTAACCTGGTTTCTCTAGGAAGCCGATGTTCTCCAGCTTCAATGGATGGCGGTGGCACCAACGACGGCATTCATACGGAAGTTGTTGATGTCATCAGTATGAATGCCACTCATACCTGTCTGATAGGCTGCTTGATCTAGAGGCTCCCTCTTGTAGCGTAGAACCTCCTTCTCTAGATCATGTATTTACTTCCTGGCACGCCTAGTTGGGGGAGATTTATCCACCATAATATAGTTCGGATAACTACCACGATAACAACCAGCATGTACTGCAACGAAAGCATATGGTTGTGCTGACGTACGGCAAGGACCTTCGCCACCTCATGTAGATGGTCCAATTGTGTCATAAGGAGGCACGCTGTCGCAGTTCTCAGGGTAGAATGTTTCCAGGTCTGTATATTCTTCCTCTGCATGGCACTTGTATTCGAAGACCATAATGGGGCAGCATACCAGACCACAGACCTCCCTTATCGCGATAAAAGAGATCAACAAGGTTGTCCGCAACCTAGGAGCTGCTTGTTCCTTCTTTTTATTTCGTCGCTGATAGCTGTGGCTTGCGCGAATGACCTGAACATGCTTTCGAATGGGACCCCTAGGATCTTGGAGTAGTTTGTGATCGGAATTATTTTTCCCTCAACCAGTACATTCAGCTCTGTTCTATTATCCGCAGACCATGTGGTAAAAAGTTTGGCCGTTTATTTGGTTTCCTTGTCCCTACACTAAGTGCTGCCTGTTATTTCATTTTGTCGCAGATAGTTGTGGCTTGCGTGACCTGTGACTTGAACACCCTGCCGAAAGGGAAATCTAGAATATAGGGCTGTTAAGTGATCGGAATTATGTTTCTCTCGATCTCTGTTCTCATCTCCGCAGACAATGTGGTAAATAGTGTGACTGTTGATTTAGTGGTGGATATTTTCACATTCCTTGCGTGGAAGTAATCGGCTCCGCGAGATGAAATTCAACCTTACACATATATCGTCAAGACCGGGGCCCGGCGCTAATCATCTGCATACGTTACGATCTCTATGCCGTCTGGAAGGAGAGGAATTCCGGAAAGGTACAGGTCAAACAGTTCTGGAGATATCACGCCACCTTGGGAACTTCCTACCGCATACGTTGCGATTTCTATGACTTCTAAAAAGTTCCGGTGACATCGCCTCACCTTGGGGAACTACCTGTTTCACTCTAGGGGATTTGGACTTATTGTTGCTGTACGACTGGCGTCCACATATATAGTTGATTATTCAACGTTTCAGGCCTGGACTGAGGGTAGTTCTCTCTACATCATCAACTAGTGTGGCGTGGTTGACTGTATCAAATGCCTTTGGTTGGTCAAGTGCTATCAACACTGACCTATGGAACCTTGTTTGTGTGGCACGTAACACCGTCTTGTTGAAAGTAAATCTTCTCTCGATTACGATTGGCTGAGGAAAGGTATTTTGAACGGATCAAAAAAACATTTGTGAAGAAAGGAAAATATTCTTAACTTTCAATATTTAAAACAAATTTTTTTGTCATTTAATATAGTTAAATTATGTATTTTAATATGGTTTTTTATGATTTAATCATAGTCACATTTTATGTTTCGTACTTTTAGTCCCTGCAAAAAAGCCTTCTTAAATAATTCAATAAATAAATAGGCAATATATAAATAAACTAATAAATAAATAAATAGATCAAGAAATAATTAGTTTAATAAATAAATAGCTAGAAAAATAAATAAATTCATAAATAAGTAAATAAATAAGTACATTCAAAATGTGCATAAATAAGTAAAACCTAAAATAAGTTCCCTTCAGATAAATGCTCATAAATTCGACAAAAAAAAAAAAAATAGCAAATCATTTGCCACGCTACTTGACAATATCTTTGGCCACCTCCAAGGCCAGTGTATAACCTTCCAGAGCGGTAGCAGCAATTTGTCTGGGTGGCAGTACAAATCCAAAACGACCACGATCTCTCAATTCCACTGTGTAAACATATTTAGTATCCAATTTGCCAGCGGCCCAATCATCTGTACCGCCTCCAGACGGTGGCAATGTCTTATAGGTAACACCTACTTTATATTCTTGCCCCGTTGTATTCCTAATAATATCAGCCGCCTGATGACCCACCCGCTCCAATGTCTTATAGTGTTTCGATTTCAATGGACGATATGCATAGGGATATACAAATGCCTGGCCATAGCTGTGATACGTTAACAAAGCCTCCAATTTTGGTTGTATACTTTTTAGAAATTTTGCAATTGCTCTCGTTTCATTTTCCGAATGTGGCCGCGGTCCTTGATACGTATAGTGGCAGGGATTTCGCGAAGCACCCACTGTATTCCAGCCAACATTGAAATTACGATTAATATCGACACCACGACACCGGGGATTTTTAGTGTACGAACGATTCTTACGCCATAGACGATCTTTGCGACGACTATAAACATAACCATCAGGATTAACCATTGGCATAAAGTACCATGTTATATTTTTTATATAATCCGGCTGAGTTGTCCACTTTGACATTAGGCGATTCATTATGAAGGTGACAGTGGCTGGGGATATCCATTCACGGGCATGAGTTCCACCATCAATCCAAATGCGTTTGTTTTCCGTTATGTTTGTTGTGACTCTGAAAAAATATAAGAGAGGGAGGGGAGGAGGGGGTATGAATGAATTAGTTTTTCGGAACAAAATTTGGATGTGAGACCAATGAAACTACATGATATTCGTGGGAACTGAGTGGATGATGATTCTTGCGTTGGATATGATGACGCCTTGGCTACAGGGTGGGACTAAATTTTTAGGAATACCTTTTTTAAGGATATAGCATGCTATATTTGATTTTTTAAAACTTTTCCAGGACCTGGATTTATGGATTTTTATGATAAATTTTTTTATTACAAAAAATGCTTCGCTCCTTGATTTTTAAGAAAATTTCTTTCAAGGCAGATATAATTTGAAGGATCAATCGAGAATTTTTACAAATATTTTTTAAGGACCAATGCAGCTATAATCGTTCATTTTATACAATTTTTTTTAACGATCAATCGTGGATTCTTAAGATTATTATTTCTTTTTTTTTGAGAACCAATCGTGGATTTTTAGGAATATTTTTTTCAGGGACCGAGACATAATATTTTGGAATATCTATCGTGGATTTTTAAGAATTTTTTTTTGAAAAAACAAGAAAGTATATTTTGAAGAGCCAATTGTGGATTTTTAACAATATTTTTTTTGAAGGAACATTGTGGTTAAAAATTTTCAAGTTTGTAAGAATATTTTTTAAGGACTAAGATTTTAATCGTGATTTTTCGAAGATTAAAACTGATTTAATGGTGGATGTTGAAAAACATTTTGAAGGACCGATGGTGGATTCTTATTACTTATTTTTTTGAGAACCAATAGTGGATTTTTAAGTATATTTTTTTCAGGGACCGAAACAGAATATTTTGGAATACCTATCGTGGATTTTTAAGATTTTTTTGAAAGACCAAGAAAGAATATTTTGAAGGGCCAAGTGTGGATTTTTGACAATATTTTTTTTTTGAAGGAACATCGTGGTTATAAAAAAAGTTCCAAGTTTTTAAGAATATTTTTAAGGGCCAATATTTTAATCGTGATTTTTCGAATATAAAAAACCGATTTAATCGTGGATTTTGAAAAATATTTTGAAGGACCAATCAAGCATTTTTACAAATATTTTTTAAGGACCAATACAGCTTAAAACTAGCATTTTATTCAATTTGTTTTAAAGATCAATCGTGAGATTCTTACGATTTTTGGTATAAAGAACCAATCGTGGATTTTTAAGAATATTTTTTTCAGGAACCGAGACGGAATATTTTATAATACCAATCTTGGATTTTTAAGAATATTTTCTTCAGGAACCGAGACGGAATATTTTGTAATACCAATCGTGGATTTTTAAGAATATTTTTTTAGGAACCGAGGCGGAATATTTTGTAATACCAATCGTGGATTTATAAGAATATTTTTTTCAGGAACCGAGACGGAATATTTTGTAATGGTTTCTTAGGCCAAATGTTTTTAAGGCCCTTATATGTATATTTTTCCCAAATGCAAAGGGACCCCTATGGTTTGAGATATATTTCGCAATATTTAGGATAGATCTTTGAAATTTGATAGGGAACTTTGGATTGTACATTGGTGCAGAAAATAGGTCATACCTTTTTGTAATAGCCGCCTTGTAAGAATAACCCCGATTTCAATAATTTCTTCACGTTTTTTTTTTCATGTTTTCCAATTCATTTTGCCAAATTTTGAAATCTTAATTTTTTTAAATAATAACCCTAAAATTTTAAAAAACTTTTATATATCCCTCGCCACCGCATCCACCACTGCATAACCCTCCAAAGCTGTTGGTATAATTTGCGCCGATGGCAGTACAAATCCATACCTTCCACGATCTCTCAACTCAATGGTATAGACATATCTGGCGCCCAACGTTGAACAAGCCCAATCATCGGCACCGCCGCCAGCAGGATACAATAGTTTATGCCTTGAACCAACTTGATATTTCTTTCCCATCGTCTTTCTAATATAACGGGCCACCTCATCACCGACTCTCTGTAACATCGATGCATCTTTATATTTCGCCGCCGTATGACCATATGGATACAGCAGCATTTGCCCGTAACTATGAAATGTCAAAAATGCCAACAAATTGTGTTTTCTTTCGTGAAGAAATTTTCCAATTGCTTGAGTTTCCATTTCGGAAAATGGTTGACGGCCATGGTAGGTGTCGCGACACGGATTTGCCGATGATCCCTGGGTATTCCAGCCGATATTAAAATTGCGATTCAAGTCCACACCCTTGCAACGGGTATGCTGATTTGGTGTGCGATTTTTACGCCAAAGGCGATCTTTTTTGCGGCTATGCTCATAGCCATCGGGATTAACGATGGGCATAAAATACCAGGTTTTGTTGCGTATGTAATTTGGCTGATCCTGCCATGCATCCATGAAACGATTCAATATGAATGTAACCGTTGACGTTGTTATCCATTCACGAGCATGGGTACCACTATCTATCCAGATTTTAGTATACTCTTCGGGGTTTTCTGTTATTCTGTAAAATGGTTTAAAAATCGGATGAATTTAATGTATTCATTGAATATATTATATTTAGTTGTTCGTCCATGTGCATCCGGATTGTTGGGTTGTTGCAGTGTAAGGTTCCTTGTGTTGGGTTGCTTGGGAGTGATGCAGGACCGGACCTACCGTGCTTTGTGATATGTGGCGGCGTCAGAGTTGTGTGTCAGAGTTGCGTTCAATACAATGTGGGTTAAGATAAATGGTAATATTTTTGGGAGAGTTAAACTTTAATGCTATTAACAGAGCTCTGTTAATAAGTTAACAGTATTGGGAAAATGAAATGGAAATATACCCTAGTCATATGTCTAGAGGTGTATATATCGGAGTGTATATCTATTGATACGGCCAAAAGGTGCCTCGTCGAAATAAAGGTTTTAGACCCTAGTTATCTTTGGACCAAACCCATTTCAGGACATTTGGAGTCCATCTAGCGATGTCCGTCCGTCTATCTGGTGCGCTCAATAAATCTCGAAGGGAGTATCCGATTTGATCCAAACTTGGTACATCGGAATTTAATATCGGCCCGCTCCTTCTTCTGGCACCTCCCTCACAAAAGGTCGTCATTTTCAAAGGAAATATTGTACTGCACAGAAAGAGAAATAATAATCCGATTTAGCTCCAAATTTGTGCGAAAATGGACAAATAACTCTTGTGAACAATGTTGCTGAATTCGTCAAAATATCGAATATAGGGAGGTATCGTTATATGAGGGATATATGACCTATATAGACAATACTCTTTCAGGGGGTAAAGTACTCAGATAAATAAAATACCGAATATCGGGGATACCGTTATAGCCCGTCATCGCGCTTGAACTGCCTGCAGACAAAAGATCTGTGATCTGGGCAGAATTTTAGCTTCCTATATTTATTCGTTTTGACTCTAGCGTGATTGCAACAGACGGGAGGACAGGGCTAAATCGTCTTAGTCTTACGCTAATCAAGAATATATATACAGGGTGAGATGAAAAAACTGCAACCAACTTCAGACTGCTGTCATTTCTAAGCCACTCGTTCGACAGCTATTAAAATTATTCCAGTGATAGCTTATTATATTGTTTACAAGCGTACAAAAGCATTTTGGAATTTTCCAGAAAAACAGTTATTCGTTATGGAATTCAAGCGTGATAGTGTGATTTCTTTATATTTTGCTGGAAAACCACAAGTGGCTATCGTTAGAGCACTCCAGCATTTAAATGTGAATAAATTATTTGTATGTCGTACCATCGCTAGCTACCGTAGCCCAACGTCAAGGAATTGGACGGAAGAAAAAAGCAACATCAGCAGAAATGGTTCAAAAAGTAAAGAAGCAACTTGATCGAAACCCGCGTCGCAGTGCCCGAATAATGGCTCTTGAGCTGAACATATCGCAATATTCCATTCGGCAAATATTGAAAAATGAGCCATTGAAATTCCAAAGAGTGCAAGAACTTACATCGCGAGAGAAAGAAAATAGACTCAAAAGAGCTAAAGAGTTGTGCAACTTCGGTTGGCCACCAGAACTCAAGTGCCGGCCATGGTGATGGTGTGGGCCACCATAACAGCCGATGGTCGCTCTCCTCATATTAATGGACGGTGACATCAGAATAAATGCCGAGGGTGTATGAAAGCCTTGGACACGCAAACATTTTGGCCGCAAACCTTTGACATTCCAACAGGACTCAGCACCATCGCACTCAGCACGCGCCACCCAAGAATGGTTACAAAATGAGGTTCGCCGCTTTATTTACGGGACACAATGGCCATTAAAATCTCCGCATACCAATCCGTTGGAATATTGTGTCTGGAGTATTTTGGAAAGCAAGGTTGGAACTAAAAAATACCAAAGTGTCGATCACCTCAAGCAAGCGCTTCGCCGGGAATGGGTCAAAATACCACAGAGCAACATTCGGGCAGCGTGTGACGGTTTCATTGGCCGTTTGAAGGCCATAATTTGTGCCAAAGGTGACAAATTCGAATAAATCTAAACATATTCTAAAATTTGATACAATTTTCCGAATTTTTTGCTTTTATTAAAAAAAAGGAAAAATTATAACGTTTGACTTTGTTGCAGTTTTTTTTATCTCACCCTGTACTTTGTTATGTCTAAAATTATTATTTTGATGAGTTACAAAAAATTTAAATTTTAACAGTGCGAAACTACGATATTTGGGGATAAGTTAATACACCCCAATGAAAGGTCCCCTGGGGGCTCCAAAATATAAAAAATCCATATTCAAAATCAATTTGCGATAACGAAAAATTTTCGAATATTTGCGGGGAAAATACGACAACTGGGGATAAGCTAATACCCCCATTCCCTAGGGGCTTTCAAAAATAAAATGTCCGCATTCAAAATCAATTTTCGATAAGGAAAATTGTTTCTTATTAACATAGCTCTGTTAATAACATTACGATTTAACTCTCCCTAAAAAACTACAATTTAACTCTCCCACATTTCAATGCAAAGAGATTGATCTAGGAGGCTTCAAACACCCTCAATCATTACCAAGAAATACTCAATTTTATTTTTTTGTTATAATAAATTAAAATTTAGTTTATTAAAGATTGTTTTTAATTTAAATATATATTTAATAGTTTGTATACATAAAATAACTTATGATTTAATAAAAGAAACCTTCTTTTCTCGGTTTTTATTTCCTTTTCTTTTGCTGAAACGCAAAATTGTATTTATCGCCCTGCAGGACAGGAGCTAAACGATGGGGAGGTGGTTTTTAAAAGTACACTGGCATTTAATTAAATGTAATGTTTTATATAAATATATTTATTCTATAGTTATAGTTAGAACATAAATCATTATTGAATAGCCTGGGCCACAGTGTCCACAACGGTGTAACCTTCAATGGCCGTCTCCAAAATCTGTGAAGGTGGTAACACAAAACCAAATTGTCCGCGATCTCTCAATTCAATGGTGTAAACATATTTGGTACCCAGCGCAGCACGACTCCAATCATCCGAACCACCACCGGCAATACCCAACACCTCATGTGTCACCGAGGCACGATAAATTTGTCCAGTTTTCTTTTCAATCCTTTGCACCGCCGTATTGGCAACACGCTGCAAGACGCCTGCATCTTTCACCTTTACCGCTTTATAGGCCCATGGATAGACAACCATTTGACCATAGCTATGGAATGTCAGATATGATTCCAAATTATATTTTCGTTTACTCAAAAATTTGACAACAGCATCGGTTTCCAACTCAGAATTGGGAGATTCACCGCGATACGTGTCACTGCAGGGATTTGTCGACGAGCCATAACCACTCCAGCCAATATCAAAGTTACGATTCAAATCCACACCCAAACATTGGGAACGTTTTGCGGGGGCACGATTTTTACGCCACAACCGATTCACTTTACGGCTATAGACATAACCATCGGGATTCATAACGGGCATGACATACCAAGTCTTTTGGCGTATATATTCTGGATGATCCTGCCATTTGGACATCAGCTGATAGAGAATAAATGTCACAGTGGCCGGGCTAATCCATTCGCGGGCATGAATGCCACCATCAATCCATATTTTCTTGTATTCTTTGGGATTTTCAGATATTCTGTAAAAACAAAGGCAAAAAAGTTGATATCATGTGACGGGAGACGAAGTGGACATATATTTAATGGGGGGTTATGACATTTTAGTTTGAATATTATTTCGTTATTTTTTTTCTGGGGGCTTTGTGTTAAGATGCAAAAACTAATTACTTCATTTTTTTAATTTTTGTTTTTAGTAGACAACAACACACTACAATGATTATTGTTCACACATACCAACACACATTTTGATTTGTTACTATTTGATGGGTGGACGGACAACACATTTGTTAAAACCAGAATTGTTAGTGCTAGTTTTTTCTGTTTTTTTTTGCCAAAAATTAATTAGTCTAAATGTTAATTACAATGTTTGTTACTTTTTTTGACACTTTTAGTATTTTGTTAACATTTAGAATATTTTTAATAACAGACAAACACAAACACACAGACATGATACAGATGTAATTAAGATTAAATTTAATTTAATTTTTAGTATAGAGGTAGGGAAATTCTATTTTGATTGCAAACAAGTTTTATTACTCCACCATAAAATGGATGATATATTTTGTTATATATTTTCAACTCAAACTGGGGGGTATATTAAATTTGTCATTCCGTTTGTAGCTCAGCGAAATATTCTGTGAAAACTTCTAAGTCAATTTAGACATGTCCGTACATCTATTGTTAAAGCGTTGAAATCCAAATGAATTGAGATAGGAAGCTAAGATTTCGATCAGGACTGACTTCAAGATATCTAACACCACTTTGCATATTTAGCATAGCTTCCGTTTAAAAATGTACGTTCACATTGGGTATCAAGCGAGTCAGCAAAGAGGTCATTTTGGTCCATTTTTTTTAAATATGATTAAAAAATCGCTATAAACATGATCGTAGTAAGTCAAAATGTTTAACAAAATTATTTGTCATAAAATTCTACTATTTGCCCTAGAAGACATCAAGAGTCTAAATCTTACCTAAACGCCAGGAATAAGTATTTATGCAAAAAAAAAAAAAAAACGAAAATACTTTTAGTCCTAAATATTTTTGATAAATATTTGTCTGACTTTTTTCAAATTGATGACTGAAGATAACATAAAATTTTGAGTTTGAGTGTTTTAGCTTTTTGACCTCTGTTTCCATATAAAAATTAAAACACAATTTTGAGCGAAAGATGTCAAAAGAATAAATATTCTACACAAAATTCCACCATAAATATCAGAATACACCATGTATCTCGACACAATAGTTTTTATGAAAATTACATTCAAAATTTATATAATAAAAGTAAAAAATTATATCCTTGTCAAAATCTTCCCTTATACATACTTATTTTTTTTTTTTTTTTTGGAAGAGTATCTAAGTAAGAATTATTCTATAACAAAATAAATTGCGGATCTCTGAACAAAATAAATTTGTGTACTTAATATGTACCAAAAAAAACCTTCTTTATTTATAAAAAAATAGCAATGACTTCAATATCAAATTGCACGATTTTTTGTAGGTAGCACGGGCCGAACTTTAAATATCCTTATCCATTTAGAAAAAAATTTGAAAAAAAAAAATTATTAAAAATTCTGGTTAAATCTTAAAAAACCGAATATAGTCGTGAATATTGTAGCTTAAATCATCAAAATACCGAATATACAGGGTTGCCCATATTCGACGGACCCATCTGGCAATGCCATAACTTTTGACAGAGATGTCACATCGCTTAATGACATACCGCGTTTGAAGCGTCAGTCCAAGCAGATTTTTACCATGAACCAATACACGCCACGCGAGCGCTCTCAAATAGTTGAAATTTACATTCAACAGAAGAAGTCAATTGTGAAAACTCAACGTGCTTTTAAAACATTAAAAAATGTGAGAAGTGCGCCTTCTTAGAAGGCCATCATTTTCGACTGGTAAGGCTCTTTCTAATACGAAGAGGCCATATAAAAGTCGACCAAGGCGATCGGCGGAGAATATCGCTGCCGTACGAGCCAGTGTTGAGAGGTTCCCAAGAACATCCCAAAAACGCCGTTCTCAGCAGTTGGGCAAGGCTCGGTCCACTTTACAACGGATTATTCGCATTGATTTGCATTTGTTCCCGTACAAAATTCAATTGACGCAAAGAATGTTGCCTGCGGACAAGCCTCATCGATTGGAATGGGCCCAAAGCTCCGTCGAATATGGGCAACCCTGTAAGTAGGTACCGTTATATCGCGGCTATACGAGGACCTGGACCTGTATAGACTATTTTCTGTCACAGGCTGTAGTAGCTATTAGGAACTTCAAATACGAAATTTCAAACAATTTCGTCGAATATTGTACAGAAAATCGTCAAAATACCGAATATTGGGAGGTACTGATATATGGGACCTTTACCAAAACCTGGACATACATAGATAATTTTCTGGCATGGATTGTAGATCTCATTACAACTTCTAAATATGAAAATTGAAACAACTAAGGTGAATAATGTGGGAGGTAACGTTATACCCATTACGAATTCTAAATACGAAATTTGAAACAAATCTGGTCAAAAATAGTCAAAATATCGAATATCGGGATGTACCGTTGTGTGTCTCTTTCAGGTGTGGTAGAGTGCTTAGAAAGAAGTTCTAGTGGATTTTTAGACAATTTAATTGAAAATATAGGCAAAATCATCAAAATACCAAATATAAGAAGGTACCGTTATATACGATATCGTGGACCTATATAGACAATACTCTTCCAGGGGGTAAAGCACTCAGAAGCAAGTCCTTTTGTGGATTCTCAGACAATTTCATTGACAAATTTTGCCTGCAATCATCGAAATACCGGGGGATATACGATACGACGTGGACCGATATAGCTCATCTTCGAACTTGACCTGTCTGCAGGAAAAGACTGATCAGGGGGTAAAGCACTCAGAAGGAACTCTTTTTGTGGATTCTCAGACAATTTCATTAACAAGTTTTGCCTGCAATCATCAAAATACCGAATATAAGGAGGTACCGTTATATGGGGGATATACGATACGACGTGGACCGATATAGCCCATCTTCGAACTTGATCTGTCTGCAGGATCGCTGCAAAATTTTAGCTTTCTATCTTTATTCGTTTTGACTCTTTTGCAATAGACAGGACAGGACTAAATCCTCTTACTTTGTTATGTCTAAAATTATTATTTCGATGAGTTACAAACTAACAGTCACCTGAATATCACAATTCAAAACTTCAGCCCTGCCGCTTCATCTAGTACCAAATTTAGTACTATTTAATATGTTTCGTGCAATTATAGTACTCATTTCCAAAACCACCTCCATACCTCAATAACAGATACCAACAGAGACATCAATAGCAAATTTTAGGATTCTAGCTCTATCCCTTGTAGTACACATTTCCAAAACCACCTCTTTATCACAAATCTACCACAATCAGGGACCTCATTCGTTCACCATAAATCAAACTGTTCCAAAATTAATATCATTTAGTACATTTCTCACACTTAGTACACATTCCCAAAATCCCCTTCATATATCAAATTTACTTTCCAACCTTGATTCTCGTACCAAATTTTAGCTTTATCCGATCACATAATACCAAATGACACCATTTCAGAACTTTTCGTAACCGTAACATTCGATCGATATGCCTTTGCCAAAATATGGGGTAATAACTCGATGTTGCCATCGCAGAGTATCGAACTCAAAGGAACAATATGTGCCATAGTTACTCATTACTTGGTAGTGAGGCAAATTATGTCTTTTGTGTTATTTCCCAAACTCAAAAGGTACTTTGTTTACAAATGGCACATGTGGGCACAACTGCCCCAAAAAAAATTTTTTTAGACTAAAATAGATCATTTCAAACTATTTGCTTTGCCCACTAAATACTTGCAAATTGAATGGCATTGCAATTTTTCATAATAATATGACAAAATTCTATTTGTTTATTAATTAACATATCTTAACACTGACTTTGCCAATACCCATTTTGGTATGTGACAAATGTCAACAGCAAAAGACGATTACAAAATAAATAATAAGCCACTGGAAATAATAACAACAAAGGCAAGCACATAAATACGGGCTTAACTTTAAATGAACAATTTTCTGAAACAAACACCAGCATTTGAAGATCGATAAAACCAAACTATTATTCAATATTTGTTCTTTGAATTTGATCTTGAACTCATTGCGGGGAATACAAAACAATGATGGCATTGAGAAAGGTCAGTTATACAGACGAACGAACGAATGAACGAGCGAACGAACGAACCTGCAATCGGCAAATTGAAATATGTAATTACAAAATGAACAACAAACAGCCAGACAAAGAGACTCTTACAGTTGTTGCTTCGATTAATTTACAATTCAATGGAAAATATTCTGAGCGAAATTTTGCAATAACAAATTGAAGAGATAAAAGCCACATTTATTTTCCGTGGAATGAAAGATAAGGCAATAGGGGTTAACTAACATTAAACTTTTTAGAAAATTATTTTATTTCATTAAGAAATTGAATATTTGCTGCAGCTCTTTGTCCGTTTAAAAATTATTTTGATTTAAATGTATTTCGTTACTTGTGCTACATTGCTTTATCTATCTCGTCTCTTTGCATTACGTTTCAATTGAAATCTCCTCATCGAATTTCAATTTCTACAAAAACATAGAACCCGTGAAGCTTTGCGAAATACAGAAAAAAAAAAATTAAAATCAAGGTTTGAGCCCGATGAACTGAAATAGAATTCATAATTATTTTTTTTTTAGTTTTTGCAAAAAAAAAAACAAAAAAATAGCAACACGAACATCATCATCGTCATTGTACAGAAAACGTGTAGCAGACAACAATTGAAACTTTTAGCAAAGAAATTGATAATACTGAAATATCAATGAGTGATAGTGGATTCATGTACATACTCGTTTGCAAAAACAAAATTCGAAAACTAAACAAATTTTGATAAGAGATGAACGAACTTTGTTAAATCAAATTTAAATAATAATAAATGAAAAAAAGTACCGAGGGAAATAATAATTCTTGCAACTTTCCGAGAAGAAAAGAAATGTATTTAGAATTGTTAACATTTCCAAATACTATTTTATTGAATACTAGCAAGTACCCGCTACTTCGTCAGCGAAGATTCCACCTCAAAATTTAAGATTTGTTTCAACAGTTCGTGTAAGACCTTTTTATACCCTCCAACATTCAATGGAGGGTATATTAGCTTTGTCATTCCTCGAAATATTCATGATAGACTCTACAAAGCATATACAGTGTGAGATAAAAAAACTGCAACAAAGTTTAATTCCATAATTTTTACATTTTTTTTTTAAATTTTATTGAATGAAAGCAAAAAAAAAAATATCGGAAATAGCATCCAATTTTAGAATAAATTTAGATTCGTTGGAATTGGTCACCTTTGGCACGAATTATGGCCTTCAATTGGCCAATGAAACACGCTGCCCAAATGTTGCTTTGCGGTATTTTGATCCATTCCTGGCGAAGCACTTGCTTGAGGTGATCGACACTTTGGTATTTTTTAGTGCCAACCTTGCTTGGGAAAATACTCCAGACACAATAGTCCAACGGATTAGTATCCGGAGATTTCGGTGGCCATTGTGCGCTGGAAATGAAGCGAGGAACCTCATTTTATAATTCTTGGGTGGTGCGTGCTGAGTGCGATGATGCTGAATCCAGTTGGAATGTCCAAGGTCTGCGGCCAAAATGTGTGCGTGCCCAAAGCTTTAAAACACCTTCCAGAATTTGTTTCGCGATAGTATTCGTCATTTATTCTAATGCTACGGTCGATAAATACGAGCGGAGAGCGTCCATCGGCTGTTGTCGTGGCTCACACCATCACCACGGCCGGCGCTTGAGTTCTGGTGGTCAACCGAAGGTGCACATTTACAGCTGACCTGTTTGGCAAGTAAACACGATCATTTTTTTTTACAAACTGCTGGACAACGAATGTTGTCTATATAACGGTACCTCTGGAGGTCGTATTAAAGCCTTGGGGCGCAAACATTTTGGCCGCAGACCTTGGACACTCCAACAGGATTCAGCACGCGCCACCCAGGAATAGTTACAAAATGAGGGCCCTCGCTTCATTTCCAGCGCACAATGGCCACCAAAATCTCCGAATACCGGATACTTCGTTGGACTATTGTGTCTGGAATATTTTGGAAAGCAAGGTTGGCACTAAAAAATGCCAAAGTGTCGATCACCTTAAACAAGCGTTTCGCCGGGATTGGGCCAAAATATCGCAGAACAACATTCGGGCACCGTGTGACGGTTTCATTGGCCGTTTGAAGGCCATAATTCGTGCCAAAGGTGACCAATTGGAACAAATCTAAACTTATTCAAAAATTTAATGCTATTTCCGACGTTTTTTGCTTTTATTTAAAAAAAATGTAAAAATGATGGCGTTTGACTTTGTTGCAGTTTTTTTATCTCACCCCTATATCTACTTTCATGTGTAGATGGCGTTCTTTATATGACATAGTACAATATCAACGACCGTTTTTTACATTGGGCTAAATTTGAGACTGCTGTTCCGAATGTCGCAATTATGTATCCCTTATGTAAAATGCCAATATTTTAAGTCCAGTTAATTATCTCGACCATAAAAGCTCAAGCAGGCTGTCAAATACTTTATCATATAGATAACAGTTCACGATGGTTGCATTTAAATAGCTTATGAAACTTAAGCCTTTTATGCCGCTATATTTCGCAGAAACCATCATCATTATCACATCTAGATGGCATTTGTGTTCAACAATAATTGTTTGCACATTTTCCTGATTAAAGTGAAACTAATACCATTATTCACATAAACCATCATATAAACTAAAATAATATTTTCCTATCATGTCCGCAAGTTGTTTTTTTAAATTATCTAACACGAAAATTATTGGTTCGATGTTTTAGTTCCAACCTACTACAACGTGTTAATTATTTAAGCGCTCAAAAGTATGCACCAAAACATCACCTAGAAAATATATCTACTTTGATGTATAGATGGCGTTCTTTATAAGACATAGTACAATATCGAAGACTATTTTTCCAATATTGTATTATTATGGCATACATTTAAGACCTCTGTTATATATGTCGCAACTGTGTCCCCTTCATACAATATATCGAAATTCCTTCTAATACAATATATCAAATGGGTTGTTTATCTCGACCATAAAAGCTCAAACAGCTTTTCACAAACTCTCTCATATATAGATAACAGTTCACGTTCATTGCATCTGAAAAGCTTAGCAAATTTAAGCCTTTAATGCCGCCATAGTTCACAGAAACCATCATCATTAATTATCACATCTAGATGGCATTTGTTTTCAACAATAATTGTTTGCACATTTTCCTGATTAAAGTGAAACTAAAACCATTATTCATATAATCCATTTGAAATTTAATTACAGATTGAATTCCGCAAGTTGGTTTTAAAAATTAGCTTGCACGAAAATTATTGGTTTCATATTTTAGTTCCACTTGGTTGTATTATGTATAGCGCTCAAAAGTATGCACCAAAACGTCACCTAGAAAATATATCTACTTTGATGTATAGATGGCGTTCTTTATAAGACATAGTACAATATCAAAGGCTGTTTTCTTAATCTTATATTAATTTGGGCTAAATTTAAGACCACTGTTCCGAAAGTCACAACTATGTCCCTCTCATGCAATATATCAACGTTTTAACTTTGGTTGTTTATCTTGGGCATAAATGCTCAAACAGGCTGTTAAATACTCTCTCACATATTCATAGATAACAGTTCACGATTGTTGCATTTAAATAGCTTATGAAACTTAAGCCTTTTATGCCGCCATATTTCACAGAAACCATCATCATTATCACATCTACTAGTAGATGGCATTTGTGTTCAACAATAATTGTTTGCACATTTTCCTGATTAAAGTGAAACTAAAACCATTATCCATATAATCCATCTGGAATGCAATTGAAAACTAAAATAATATTTTCCTGTTATATCCGCAAGTTTTCTGTTTTTGTTTTTGGTTTTAACTAGGAAATGTTTTGATGATAACTTACACGAAAGTGTACAGCAAAAAAAACAAAAAAAAACATTGTACGAATGTTTATTGTAATTTTTCCAAACTATGATATTTGACGATAGCCGTCGTTTGACTGCCGGCACTCTCCAGGCACCACCCACCGCCCAGGCACGCTGTTAAGCCGGGCTGATGGAACAGAATGTGGTTGTAACCAAAATGCAAACAGTATTTTTTTTTGTTTTCCCTGTAAAGACTGACGAGTGTGTGTTTTATCATCATCAACGCCGTCATCGTCATGAGTGGAATATCAACACGCCATAAGTGGTGTCTGGAACAGTGGCGTAGTTGCGCAAGTTGTGGGTTGACAATGTCAAGAGGTGTTTTCTATGGTTCAAAACATCTCAAATTAAAATGACAACTTTCAGGGCTATGGGAGTAGGGAAGTATATTTCCATAACAATAATAAGGATACACCCACCTGACGTCGATATCACAACCCAAGGCATATTTTGCATGCGCTTTTCAATGAATTCTTCTCATGCTTTTAAGTTTGAGGCTGACATTTTCAATCTACTGCCTCCGCTCATAGACAAACAGTTCATGTTTTTTTTTAATATTAAAACACACATTCAATGTTAAAATGACAATTAATTAATATCTCAATTAGATGATAATGTTAGATGTTTTGTTGTTTTTTCCGCTTGCTCCTTAGGTTTTTATATTTTGGGGGTGAGGGAAATGGTGGGTGGCCAGAATGTTTTGTTATCTCAAATTTCGGTGCATTTCATTTAAAGTGCCAATAATGTGTTACACATATATATATGTACGGTTGGACGAATGAATGAATGTAGGTATGTGAAATGAACATGCTTTTTAAGTGAATTGAATGAAGTTGTTTCTTTCTTTTTTTTCGACTGACTCACCTCAAAACCTTCAAATCTCTGCCTTCGGCTGTCTTGCCAATTGTATAGAGACGACAAATATTGGGAAACTTTCCACGTATTTCACGCATGAATGCATAAATGGTATCCAAATCATGATAGTCCTTCCAGTGAATGCCACTGCGAGCGGATTTTTCTGAAAACAAATTGAAATAGAATATTGATTTGTTAAACTTTGCTAAACGAAATTTGGACTACAAAATGTTAGAGTTAAAATAAATGTTTCATTAAATTAGGTCGCATGAATTTCCAGGAAGGCAAACAACATACTGCCATTTTTTCGTGGACAACGCAAGTTGAGATATTTTAGAAGGCATTAATAACTCAAACTATTTCCAACAAAGGTTTTAGTGTGTTGACTTTAAGACAAGTAAATAATGGTTTATATATAATATCCTGCCTCCAGACTTAACTTATGTCTTCTTTGAAATCTATATATAAAAGAGAAGTAATGGTCAGTCTTGGTGCGTAGGCGAGTGGTAAGGCTAGTTTTATTTGGATATTCGTACTAGGATGGTATTAAAAGGTAATAATAAAACTAAATATGGTACCCTTTGTATTTCACGAACCAGTACAACCAGATCACTGATGGAGTATATGATGGATGTACTTAAGGGTTTTTGGAAATTCGCACTATCAGTGTACGATAATACTAAAATGTACTAAATTTGATACTTCATTTCGTATCAGTGTGTACTCATGTATACGAAAATTACTAAATGTACTAAATTTGGTACAATTTGAATTTGGACTAATGGATGGAGCTGGAATGCTTAAATTTAAAAATAGCATTAATGGCTGGGTGTAGGATTTGGATATGAAGGTTGTTTTCGAAATCTGTTCTTATGTGCACCGAAAGCACTAAATTGGGAACAATTTCGATTTGGGTGAACCGACTATAACATCGTGGGACTGAGTTATGTACTAAATGGTACTAAATTTGGCACAATTAAAATTTTGGGAGAACCGATAGAGTTGGAATCCCGAAATTTGGAATTAAGATTACTGTTGGAGTGTAGGGTTGGGGTATGTAGCAGGTTCTGGAAATTCGCAATTATGTGTGCTAAATTGTAATAAATCTCGTACAATTTGCATTTGAGGAACCGATAGAGTTGGAACCCTCAAATTTGGTATTAAGATTACTGTTGGAGTGTGGGGTTTGGGTATGTAGCAGGTTTTAGAAATTCTTATTCATGTGTACGAAGTAGTACTGAATTTGTTACAATTTTTATATTGGGGGGGATTGTTGCGATATGGGTGGAATCTTGAAATTTGGAATTGGGATTATTGTTGGAGTGTAGGATAGGGGTATGTAGCAAGTTTTGGAAATTCATACTTTTGTGTGCTAAATGGTACTAAATTTGGTACAATTTGCATTTTGGGGGACCGATAGGGGTGGAAGTCTGAAATTCGGATTTAAGATTGCTGTTGGAGTGTAGGATTGGAGTATGTGGCAGGTTTTGGAAATTCGTATTCATGTGTATGAAATAGTACTGAATTTGGTACAATTTGTATTTGGGGAACCGATAGGGGCGGAATCCTGAAATATGGAATTAAGATTACTGTTGGAGTGTAGGGTTGGGGTATGTAGCAGGTTCTGGAAATTCGCAATTATGTGTGCTAAATTGTACTAAATCTCGTACAATTTGCATTTGAGGAACCGATAGAGTTGGAATCCTCAAATTTGATATTAAGATTACTGTTGGAGTGTGGGGTTGGGGTATGTAGCAGGTTTAAGAAATTCGTATTTATGTGTACGAAATAGTACTGAATTTGGTACAATTTTTATATTGGGGGGGATTGTTGAGATATGGGTGGAATCTTGAAATTTGGAATTGGGATTATTGTTGGAGTGTAGGATGTGTAGTTTTGGAAATTCATACTTATGTGTGCTAAATGGTACTAAATTTGGTACAATTTGCATTTTGGGGGACCGATAGGGGTGGAAGTCTGAAATTCGGATTTAAGATTGCTGTTGGAGTGTAGGATTGGAGTATGTGGCAGGTTTTGGAAATTCGTATTCATGTGTACGAAATAGTACTAAATATGGTACAATTTGTATTTGGGGAACCGATAGGGACGGAATCCTGAAATATGAAATTAAGATTACTGTTGCAGTATAGGAAGTTTTGAATATTGGTACATATGTGTACTAATTGTACTAAATTTGGATTTGGGTTAACCGATTGCATTGAATCTTGAAATTGGGGAATACGATTTCTATTGAATTGTATTGAAATGTGTACTAAATGACACTAAATTTGGTACAAATTTGAATTGTGGTGAACCAATAGAGCTGGAATTGTGAAATTTGGAAATAAGAATTCTATAGGATTGTATGATTGTGGTATAGAGGTAGTTTAGGCAATTTGGAGTGTAGAATCGGAGTATGTAAGAAATTTGGGAAAGTCGTACTTATGTGTACTAAGATTGATACAATTTGGATTTGTGTGAATCAAATGGTTGTAAATTTGGTATAATTTGGATAAGGATGATGGGGTTGTAATCCTAAAATTTGAAATAAAGATTACTCTTGGAGTATATAATTGGGTTATGTAGTACGGTACAAGTTCAATTTTCGATTTGGTTGAACCAAAAGAGCTAGAGTCCAGATATTGGATTTATTTTTCAGATATAAGAGTACAAATGGTACACAATTTAGTATTGATTCTAGGGATGGAGCTTGACTCCTGAATTTTGATGTTGGGGTCAGAATTGGGGTGTAGTGTTGAGATGTGGAGGGGGTTTTGAAAATACGTACCGTTGATATAATAAAGGTGTGTAGGGTTAAGATATGAAGTGGTTTTGGAAATAAATAATTACATGAACGAAATGTACCAAGTGTACTCTATTTGGTATTATAATTCTATATATAAAAGACTAGCGAATATTATCGCGAAAATATTCTGGAGGGTGTATAAAGCCGTGGGCACGCAAAACATTTTGGTCGCAGACCTCGGACATTCCAACAGGACTCAGCGCCATCGCACTCAGCACGCGCCACCCAAGAATGGTTACAAAATAAGGTTCCTCGCTTCATTATCAGCGCACAATGGCCACCAAAATCTCCAGATACCAATCCGTTGGACTATTGTGTCTGGAGTGTTTTGGAAAGCAAGGTTGGCACTAAAAAATACCAAAGTTTCGATAACCTCAAGCAAGCGCTTCACCGGGAATGGGCCAATATACCTCAGAGCAATATTCGGGCAGCGTGTGACGGTTTCATTGGTCGTTTGAAGGCCATAATTCGTGCCAAAGATGACCAATTCAAACAAATCTAAACTTATTCTAAAATTTGATGCTATTTCCGGCATTTATGCTTTCATTCAATAAAATAAAAAAAAAAATAATTAAAAATTATGGTGTTTGACTTTGGTGCAGTTTTTTTATCTCGCCCTATGGATGTGAATTTTACGACTCTTCGGTATGCTCTTTCTAAATTGTGGGTCTGTTTTCTAATATTTGTCATAATTTTTGAGATGTCAAGGTCAAAGATCACAATGTTTTTAAATTTTGTTTGAAGTGTGAACATAAAATAATTAGAATAAATTAGGGTCTAAAAATCAGTCTGTAACTTCTTTACTCCAAGAGTTCATGCTTAAGAGTACCAAACAATTTTAACATAATTTCCAGTTCTAAATGAGCTAGAAACTTTCAAATGCGTTTTCCACAATACAGTAAAACGTCGACAATACGTTGGCCATTACTTAGTGTTTTAATAACCCTGATATTGGTTAGTAAATTATAAAAAAGTATTTGATCTCTTAAGGTATGTTTGAAATAAAGGTATGCTTCTTAATGCCTTCTTAAATATACCTAATTTACGATTTTTCCAATATCATTACTTTTCTTTTTGTTACTTTTTGCAATTAAAAAAAAAAAAAATAAAAAGTAAAAAAATCGGTAAAAATGACAAAAGTAATATTTTCACTCACTTGTCCGTTGGCCCATTTCACTCTGTGTCATATTAACACCAATGGCAGATTCTTGGTCAATCAACTCCTGGATATTACTATTCAATACTTCTGACATAAGATTTTGATTTTCCAAAAATGCACGAGCTGCCTTAATGTGATTCTTCTCTATGGAGACATCTAAGAATTTTGAGTTTTCCTTCCATACGGTGCCACCTAAAATCAGCAGAAAAAAGACGGAAAAAAAAATACGAAATAAAATCAATTTCCATTTCATTACAATTCTTAAAGGAAAAAAATGCAGCCCAACACCTTTTTCCCATCAACCTACCATATTTGCTCTCCAGAATATCTGCCAATGGCATCATATTGCGACGACGACTCATCGATTCGGATATATTATAGATACGCCATAACTGGGCCTCATCATAGCGGACCGGTAACTCGTTCACATCCAGAACACCATCATCTTCGGTCGCTGTAGTATCGTCGCCCTGTCGTCCCTGTTCTCGCATGTTCTCCTCATGTTTATCCTTTGCAGTTATTTCCCTTTCAATGAGCATTTTATTTCCGGTTCGTATATTTCTATCGGCAACCGGTACCATGCCTCTCACATCGAAAGTTGATGCATCGGATGGAGGTGTTGAAATTACGAGCAATGCCGTTGCAGCGAACAGCAATATCAGCCGGGAATTCCATCGTGTGTCTTTAATCATTTTTGTGGTGTGCCTAAATTGAGTTTACTTTGGGCTTTTTGTGGGAATGAGAGAGAGAGTGAGAGTGCAAGGAAAGGAGACACGCCAAATATGAAAAAATATGCCAAAGGAAAATTATGTTTGCTCGGGATGGTGGTAAGCTGTAATAAATTGCAAGAAAAGTAAAGATTGGAAGATTAGGAAATTTTGTGGCATTTGGTATTTTTACTAAAAAAATATTTCTTGGAAAAAATTATATCTTGCCAAGGATGTGTGTTTTCATTTAGCTTTCCACCTAAATGATGTGTTTAACACATCAACCTTCACAATATCGCATCCCTTTGTGCTAAATATGTAACGTTTTTTTCGACAATATTTATCGGCATAAAATGTAAATCACTTTTATTTATGGATCCTGTGTGCTCTGCTGAATAATGCCTGAGTGCGAGCAGGCATTGGTGGTAATCTAATTATAAATTTTAGCCATATATTTTGTACGCTGTTCACAATGCCTGTCACACCACAGCTAACGTGTGAAACTAATTGAAACGCAGTATGTGTTTGTAAAGACGATGTAGGCGACTTAGGTGAAGTTATTCGGGAGCAATTATTGTTTAAAAATAAAAAAAAAAAAAATAAGAAAAATAGTATCAGTTGATTTTGCCGACAGATTTATGCCTCCAGCCTTGAGTAATGATTATTCAATTTGTTGATCCTTTATGGGGGAGGTTCCGAAGCAGTTGACCTAAGACTGCTGTAAATATTACAACGTGCCAGATTTGGACCATATCGACTACTTGCTATACTTTATATGAAATATGTCCAACTTTTTGGAAAATGTGGAAACATACGTGATCTAATACAGATTAAAATATTGGTATCTGCAAAATTTAAAGGAAATCGAGCATTTATATCCAATTTTATGCGAAATCAAAAATTTCGATAAAACACATATTCATATCAGATTTCTGGTTAAGAAAAAAAATTAGATATAGCAAGTTGTAAAGAATGACAGATATAAGTATTGGAAATTGTGAACCTTTGTGGGTGAGGTTCCAGAAGGGGTTGGAAGAAATATCATTCATATATCATCATCATATCATATTCACAGCAGATCTTTCGTTAGAAAAAAAATTGGATGTGTGGAAATTGAGAGAGTTTTATGCTTATCTCGCTTTCTTTTAGTGTTTTGTTTTTCAAAAACCTTAAACAATATGTGGAGGAGGTACCAGAAGAAATGGTCCGATCCCTACCACCGATCCCTACCATATTAACAGCCGATTCCACAAAATCTGTTATAAATTGATTTTGAGGAATCGGCTGTTAATATCGCGTTTTATGAGCTCCATGGATACTCAAAATGTTGACCCTATGTGGGGGAGGTACCAGAAGAAGTTAATCGATATGTCCCATCTACACACCAGACCTTGGGTTAATAACAATTTTGTGATGTGTGTAATTTGAAGAGAACCGGATGCTTATTTCAGATTTTATGATCGTTTTGGTTATTCAAAACTTTGACACTTTGTGGGGGAGGTACCAGAAGGAATGGTCCGATCTGTAGCATCTTTATAACAGATGGAAAAAATATTAAGATGTACCAAATCTGAATGGAATCGGAAAATAATTTCGTGTTTTATGAGCTTCATGAATACAGAGTGATATGTAAAAACTGCAACCAACTTCAGACTTCTGTCACTCGTCGGACAGCTATTAAAATTATTCCAGTGACAGCTCATTATATTGTTTACAAGCCTATAAAAGCATTTTGGTGAGAATTTTCCAGAAAAAAAGTTATTCGTTATGATGAGCTCGGGGTAAAACCATTTAAATTCCAAAATGTGCAAGAACTTACACCGCAACAGAAAGAAAATAGACTCAAAAGAGCTAAAGAATTTGGTTTTCTCTGATGAGAAAACATTCGTTGTCCAGCATTTTGTAAACAAACAAAATGATAGTGTTTACTTGCCAAAGAGGTCAGCTGAAAATGCACACCTTCGCTTGGCCACCAGAACTCAAGCGCCGGCCATGGTGATGGTGTAGGCCGTCATAATAGCCGATGGTCGCTCTCCGCTCGTATTAATGGACGGTGGCATCAGAATAACTGCCGAATAGCAGCATCATCGCACTCATTGGTTACAAAATGAGGTTCCGCGCTTTATTTCCAACGCACAATGGCCACCAAAATCTCCGTACACCAATCCGATGGACTATTTTGTCTGGAGTATTTTGGAAAGCAAGGTTGGCACTAATAAACGCCAAAGTGTCGATCACCTCAAACAAGCGCTTCGCCGGGAATGGGCCAAAATACCGCAGAGCAACATTCGGTCAGCGTGTAACGGTTTCATTTTCAGACCATAATTCGTGACAAAGGTGACCAATTCGAAGAAATCTAAAAATACTCTAAAATTTGATGCTACTTCCGACAATTTTTGCTTTCATTTAATAAATTAAAAAAAATGTAAAAATCATGGTGTTTGATTTTGTTGAAATTTTTTTTATCTCACCCTGTAATTTGGAAAATAAATTTTTCAGACAAATTCTATCACACATTCCTAATTTCATTGAAATTTGACGTACACAGCGTGTTTGATGCATCAAAAATATGAAATCGGACGAAAATATATATATATATATGAGAGCTATTTCAATATAATTTGGCAAATTGATTTTTCTTCTAAATTCCGTTACACTGTATCTGTAATTGATCAATAGATATGTGCTTAAAAAAATATTTTTTTGAGGTATCTCCGATTTTGATGCTATATCTCCTGTTCCAAGTGGAATTTCAAAAATTAATATAGCCTATATTACTTTCAGGCAATGTTGTCGTATATATGGACATTTTCAGGAAAATCTGTTCAGCAGTTTTAGAGTCCATAAATTACAAACATTTTCCTCTCTTATAGATTTTGTAGTTAATAGTCTGACAAGTAGATGTCAGTTAGAAATACTGTCATTTTGGGAACATGGAAATAATATGTCTGTAATTAATTGTTGCTAATTCATTAATGTTTTCTTTCTTAATGTTTCTTGTGCTAATTGTATTATATAAAATGTTTCTTTTATGGGTAAGAACGATTTTTTTAATTAAAATTGAAAACAAACAAATTTATTGATTAATACAAGCAAGCAAATTATTTTAAAATTTTGCAATGAAAAATAAATTCCCACTTATAAAACTCATTACGGAATTCTGGGAACAGTTTGCTCCATTCGCATCCATTTTACGCTTGTTTACCGAACACAAAACAACAAATAACTTAAAAATTGATGAACAAATAAAATATGACTCACAGATAATTCCTTAAAAGCTGTGGTTAATTTCGTTATGAAAACAAAAAGAAAATACCCAGATTATAGTAATTTTGTGCATCATTATCAGCAGGCGGGGCAGTGTCACGTCTTAAAGCAATGTATCTACATGTGTTTTTGAAATCATGTTGTATTGTATAATTGCAGACTCAATGGAATTAAAAAAAAAAAATACCGAATTCAAATGCTTCAGTGGACATGTGTTTAACGCTGCCTAACTATTTTTATTAAAATCAAAGAGAATTTATATGGTCAAGATTACAATGTATACCCCTAAAAACTATTTCAATGAATCCTTACCATAATCAAGAAAATAAATTCTCAGTATTTCAAGCTTTAAGGCTGGATAACAAGTTGAAATCTCTGACTTTTTTATTGAGGCACATCCCACTGAATCTATTCATCCCAAAATGATGGGTTAAGAAACTCATAAATAGTTTGTACACTTTAAACATTTAACGACAATTTCAAATGTATATTTATAATTTTGTAATTTTTTTGTATCCACATGGCTGTTAAACGCATGACTTCTTTTCTATTGAAAAGCAGACAACGGCAAACTAGTGCAAAGCGGACAAAAACAAAAACCAAAAGTTTTCAAATAAAAATGAAATTGTGTTGAGACGTGTTACAAATTCATTAACACTTTGATCTTTACCTCTAACGTTTTATGTTTGAACAGGCATAATTGGACGTTTGTACATACTTCAAACAAGTTGGAAGTTTGATATTTTTTTCTAATTTGTTTGATATTTGCATCGCGAAAACAAATGTTTAATGTAAAATCAGGTTTTTTTTTTATATATATAAAAAAAACCGAACTTTTAATACCCTCAACCTTACTGTAAAAGAAAATTTTTTATAAAAAGTATCTGAATTCACGCTTGTTAAACTTCATATATCAGTAAGACCGTTTGGATAATGCAGTTAAGCTTATCAAAAAAAAAAAAAAAAAAACAAACTGAGTGAGGCCGTTATATGGGGCCATACCAAAAGGTGAACCTCTATGGACATTTTTATACTTCAAGGATTGTCACCTATCAAATCTTCTAAAAAAATAAATTTTAAACAACCGAATATCGGTGGGTATTGTTATAAGTGCGCTATAGGAAAACGTGGAACTTAATATTCAATGTTCTGCCACCGGGCTAGAACCCGTTATGAACTGCAAATACCAATTTTTACACAAACCAGTGAAAAAAAATGGCAGAAATCATCAACATATCGAATATCGGCAGGTAGCGTTATATAGGGGCTATACCAAACCGTGGACCTATACATACAATGTTTAACCCATTACGAGCTACAAATACCGATTTCTGGACAAATCCGTGAAAAAATGTGGCAAAAATGGTCAAAACCCCGAATTCCGCGAGGTACCGCTAAATGGGGCTATACCAAAAACTTGGACCAATGCATACAATGTTTCGCCATACGAGCTAGAAACCATTATGACCTACAAAGACTAATTTTTAGGCAAATCCGTGAAAAATGTGGCAAAAAATCAACAAAATTCGTCATTTCGGGAGGTACTGTTATATGGGAACTATGTCTAAACGTGGATCTATACATACAATGTTTCGCCACACAAGCTAGAAACCATAATGACCTACAAATACCAATCTTTAGACAAATCCGTAGGAAAATGTGGCAAAAATCATCAAAATATGGAATATCGGCAGGTACCGTTATATGGGGCCTATACCAAAAACGTGGACCTATGCATGACAAACTTAATATACCCTCCATTCCAAAGTAGATGGTATAGAAATTTCACTGTTGGATGTAGAATTCTGCTGATCTGGTATAGTTCCTTCTAACAAAGTTAAAGTATTTAGGAATATATCATTTAATACCGTCAAAACGTGCCTCATCGAGTTAACAGTTGTAAACCCTATATCTCTTTGGACCAAATCCGTTTCAGGACATTTGGAGTCGATCTAGCGATGTCCGTCCGTCCGTCTGTCTGTCTGGTTGACTGGTGCGCACGAAAACTCCTTCTTTCTGGAACTTCCCCAACAAAGGTCGAAAATATCAAAAAATATTTTACTACACAGAAAGAGGAAGGATATTCTGATTTTGCTCCAACTTTGCAAATCGTACCAGTGCTAGATCAGGTGCCAAAATGGACAATATCGGTTCACTCCATCAAGTACCTTCCCCACAAGGGGTCACAATTTTTAATAATTATATATCTTATAAAATGTGATATAAGAGTCCGATTGTCTTCAAATTTCACACATCTCAATATTTCCATAAACACAAGGTCTGTTTAAAAGATGGTAAAGATCGGACCATTTCTTCTGGTACCTCCCCCATAAAGGGTTGAAGTTTTAAATAACCAAAACTATCATAAAACCCGAAATAAGCATCTGGTTTTCTTCGTATTTCACATATCCCATTATTTCCACCAACAAAATATATTCTGTGAAGATGAAATATATCGGTCCACTCCTTCTGGTACCTCCCCCACAAAGGGTCAAAATTTCGAATAACCAAAGCGATTATTAAATTCGAAACAAGTATCCGGTTCATTTCATACTTCACATATCCTATTATTTCTACTAACACAAGATTTGCTGCGAAGATGGTATATATCGGTCCCCTCCTTCTGATACCACCTCCACAAGGGTTCAAAATTTTGAATATACGTAAAGCTCATAATAAATTAACATCCGATTCCATTCAAAATTGCTGCATCTCAATATTTCCATCAACACAAGATCTGTAATAGAGATGCTAGAGATCGGACCGTTTCTTCTGGTAGCTCCCCACATAGGGTTCAAGATTTTGAAAAATAAAACGCTCAAAGAAAGCGAAATAAGCATCCAACTCTCTTCAAGTTTCACACATACAAACATTATTGCTAACACAAGATGATATATATCTGCCAACCCGCTCCGGTACCTTACCCACAAAGGGTCACAATTTTCAATACTTTTATATTTTATAACTTGAGAAACAAGTCGCCTATTCTTTACAACTTACTATATCTAAATATTCCGCTCAACCAGAAACCTGAGATGAATATGGAATTTATGATTTCGCATAAAATTGAATCTGAATGTTCGATTTCCTTGTAATTTTGCCCAAACCACAATTTTTATCTGTATTAGATGAAGTATGAAAATTGAATACCTCGGTTGTTTATATCTGTTAACTGACGCTCATTTTAACATTTTCTAAAAAATATCACATATCTCCAAACCTGGCACGTCTCAATATTTAAATCATTCCATAGAGGGCCAACAATTCAAATAATCATAACAGAAGTGCAAATATATATTTAAGTAGCTGAGGGTATACATCCGTTGGCAGAACCGACTGATACTTTTTAAGTTGTTATCCGTATTATATGAAGTATGAACATATAATACTTCGGTCGACTATATCTGGTACCTCACGCACATTTTAACATTTTTTAAAAATTATCACATATCTTTTAAGGAAGTAAGTCTTAATATTTATATCATATTTAGATAGGACCGATACGAAATGGACAATATTGGTCCATTTCTTCGGAGCCTACCCCATATAGGGTCAACAATTTGAATAATTTTAACAGAAGTCAAAATATATTTAAATTTTCGAACATTGGCTAAGGGTATACATCTGTCGGCAAAACCGACTGACACCTTTTTACTTGTTTTAATTAAATTCGATCTTTTTCGCATTTTCCTGTGCTGTTCTGCCCTGTTGACTCAAACTCAAACTCCAATTCAAACCCTGAACTTAATATTTTTATGATTCACCATAATTAAAATAGGTACGGTCAGCAACTGTCCTACCACTAATATTATTCATATCTTTCTACGAAAAGTTTACAATAATTTTAATCAAAAACACATTCATTTTTCATGAAACTGCTGAAATAATTCATTCATCATTCCTTTGTCGAGATTTTGATGCATTTTTGGTTGAAGTGGCTCAAGGGGTCATTGGGGCATAATTTATCTTACATTAATTACAGTATATAAACGAAAAAAAAAAACAACAACCGAAAAAAATCCAATACTGGAACCGGTGACTTGCAGTTAACCCTGGCTATGGAGGCGTAGATGCCTGCGTGTGTTGGCCTACAACAAATGACTTACAGCTGGGAAATTTTGCTCTATGTAAAGAAAGCTAATAATAATGCCGAAACGAGTTTTGTTTTTTTCTTGTTTTTTTTTTTAGTGGGATTTCCATTTCAGCTTCTTATTACATTTTTTCTTAGGCCTTTTGTGTCATTTCGTGTTAATCTTTCACTAGAAACATTTTTTGTTTTATTTTTTATGTGTATTTTTTCGTGGGGTTTCGTGTAGACTTTTTTCCCCGAAATTAAAACGAGTTTTTCTTTGTCAATTGTTGTCATGTTATTAATTCACACACTTCTCACATTTACAGATTTTGAGGAAAAATATCTTTTTAAATTAATAATTTATTTTTTTTTTAATTTGCTTACATTTTCGTTAACAGGACGAAATTTTGTTGAGTTGAAATTTAGAATTTAAATTTTTGTTGAAAAATTTTATATTTGAAAAAAAAATTGTTAAGCCAGTCTATGCAACGAGCACATTGTTGTCGTCTCACGTTGTAACCACACTCCACATAAAACACATGCGCGCACATGCAATCACACTCTTTCGTCCGCTTAAATAGTTGATTATCACGATCACGATCCGTCTACTAACCACGAACTGCGACGACCACTTTCTTTCTCCTTTAACGTGAATATTATTAAATAACGCTTTTGAGCTCTCCCCACTTCACAAACACAAACCACAGACCAGACAATGCCGCGCGCTGATATCGCGACGGGCACTTCAGTTACAAGACTAAGCGTCGGAAATGAAATGTTGTCAATTTTATATTGAAATAGAAAAATACGGACGAGCCGAAACACCAAAACCAAACAAAACAAAAACACAGCACAACAAAACAATAATGACAATCGCGAGAGCCCCCCCCGAAAAGCAAAACAAACATTCGAATAAAAATACGACGAATCGCCATACATTGAAGCTAACAAACAGTCAGAAAAAAATCGAGAGCCGATCGCTCACAAAAGGCACGCTTATCATGCTGACGAACAGTGGTGTGGTTTGATTAATTTAAGTCATTTCGTTTGCGTTGTTATGGGCCCCAATTTAGCCTTACCGCCTGATATTCAGAATTTCCAAAAATTCGTACATTTCAGTTTAATTTCCAACAGATGTGGATGTGGATCTCTTCCAATCAAAATGGAAGCTACGACATTTTTTCAATATCGGTTTTCCGGCCAAACATTGTGCAGAAACCTGGCTCTAGTTTTAACCAGTAAAGAATGTCTTAAAGTCGGGCGGGGCCGACTTTATGATACCCAACACCACTTTGCTAATTTAGTAGAGCTCCACATAACAATTAAAAGTTTTCATGGGAGAATTCAATAATGCACGCTATGATTATAATTACAATTTAAAGTTCAAAAGACTAAATATGTCGAAGCATTTGTATCTTTTAAATTCGGACTTGTCTTGCCCATTTGATATATATGGCAGCTATATCCAAATCTGAACCGATCTTGATAAAATTTGGCAAAGATATTTCTGAGCTGTATTTCATATATTTCCCTAAATATCGATGTTACGGAGTGCATATTACGGCTGTGGGTAACAAATATAACAAATCGGATGAACAATATATATGGGAGCTATAGCTATATCTGAACCATTCTTCACCAAAATTCACATACTAGCTTCTAGACTCAATTCGGTCGTATGTGCCAAATTCCATCCCATTTGGGCAAATATTACACGTTTGGTGCACAAAAAAAGGTAAATCGGACGAAGTTATATATGGGAGCTATATCCAAATCTGAACCGATCTCGATAAAATTTTGCAAAGGTATTTTTGAGCTGCATTTGATATATTTCCCCAAATATTTTTGTTACAGAGTGCATGTTACGGCAGCGGAGGACAAACATAACAAATCGGATAACCAATATATATGGGTGCTATACCTATATCTGAACCGATTTCGATCAAATTTGGCATACTTATTTTCAGGCCTAATCTGGTAGTATGTGCAAAATTCCATACTATTCGGGCTGATATTACACGTTTGGTGGCTAATTAAAGGCAAATCGGACGAAGATGTATATGGGAGCTATATCTAAATTTTGACCGATTATCTCCAATTTCAATAGGGTTCGTCCTTGGGCCAAACAAATGATTTGTACAAAATTTCATCTGGATAGGGCAATAAATGCGAACTGTACTTTGTTTACAAAAATACATGGACAGACGTACGGACGGACATGCATAAATCGACTCAGAATGTGATTCTATGCAGATCATCCAAAGAAACTATGGGTCTATCTCGTTTCCTTTTGCCTGTTACAAACAAATGCACAAAGACATAATACCCTTACCACTATGTGGTGTAGGGTATAGTCATAATTAAGCTTCTTGTCGTAATTCGAACTTTATCCGAGGTTTTTATGCACCACAGTGCAAAGGGGAGCCTTAAGTAAACAACATCACCAAACACAACAATATTCGTCATCGCATGCGATAAAAACCGAAACGAAAAGTGAGAAGAAAAAACAAACAATCTGCTTGCTGGCTGGTCCTCATTTGACTCCGCATTTGACTCAATCTACAAACGCTGCGAGCAAAAAAAAGAAAAAACTTCAACTTTTGTTGTGGGATCGCCATTGGCGTTGCATGTCACCCAGTGCGTTGGTTATTCATATGCTGCCGTTGCTGCAGCTTTCTTATCTGTCAGATACTGATGAGTTCGTGTGAGTGTCTATGTGTCTTTAATTTTGTCGTTCATTCGGTCATTCGCACGCTCTCGTCCACTCGTTCGCTCATTTGTTTACTCATTCAGCTAAAAAATTAGCCGGCGATAATTAAATGCTAATTTTGCGATTTATTTTTAAATGAAATTGGCGTTTTTCACGGTTCGTTTTTTTCTTTGTTAAATGTTTTAACGATTTTTATGATACATAAATCACCAAATGTTTATGGAATTTCAATGGCATTCAAATTGCCGATGGAAGGTTCAAATTTCGTATTGATGGGCGTAGAATGATACATAAAAATGCGGGATGCATTTTTAATGAGAATATTGTCGAAGAATTTGATAATAAGAAATTAAATAGAAGACAGTGGGCCCAAAAAAGTCGGAAATTTACTTGGGCCAATTGTATCTTAAAATGCAAGATTAGAGTTCGGATGTCCTTCAACAAACAAATCTTTCATAATCCTCAATTCTCCACAATCCTCAAAAAACAATTTTCAACTTTGATGGTCCTTCAAAAATGGCTCGTAAAAATTTCTATTTTATGACAGATAGTCTTTCTAAAGTATTCCTTAAATTTTCCGTTTTTTCTCTGGCATCCCCTGAACAATGGTCGTCAAAAACCTCCAATCTTACATTCGAGAATAGTGGTTAAAATCTCAAATTTTACCCTGATAGTGCTTCAAAATCCTTAATGGTCGTCGACAAAATATTACCTCGGACGTCCTTAAAAATGTTCCTAAAGAAACTATAATAATTTTACCTCTGATAGTCCCTCCAAAAAAGTTCATAAATCTTAATTTTTACCGGCGAAAGCCATTACTAAAGGGCTCTTTAAAATTACCTAGACTTTTTTTTACAAAAAATTGTATCTAAGAATCCCTATTATAAGCTCTGATACTATAATCCTTCAAAAATGTCCTTGAAATCCCCTGCAAATATGGTCCTTAAAAATCCCCCACTCAACCTCTTGTAGTCCTTCAAATCCTCTCCAAAAATTGTCCTTAAAATTCCTTAATTTTACATAGGATAATCGTTCATACTTCATAGCACTTCAGGAATAGCCCTCACCTTTTGAAAATTATCCCAAAATATCCCTATTTTTTTTCTCATGTATTCCATAAAATATAGGCCTAAAATATCCCAAATTTTACCTTTGGTAGCAATTCAAAAATCATCTTTAAATATCCACAATTTTGATCCTCGAAAAATATTCTTTAAAATTCGAAGATTTTATTTATCCCTTCAAAAAATTGTCCTTAAAAATCCAAGTTTGTGAATCTGTTGATCATTGAAAAAATTGTCCTTCAAAATCCATATTTGTGATCTATTGGTCCTTGAAAAAAATGTCCTCCAAAATCCATGTTTGTGACTCCATTGATCCTTAAAAACATATTCTTTAAAAACTCGCGTTTGTGGATCTGTTGATCCTCGAAGAAATGCTATTTAAAAATCCATGTGGCTCTGTTGATTCTTCAAAAAATTGTCCTAAAAAATCAACGTTTGTGTCTGTGTTGATTCTTGAAAAAATAGTCTTTAAAAATCTACGATTGTGACTTTGTTAATCCTTGAAAAAATTGTCCTTAAAAATCCAAGTTTTTGTCTCTGCTGATGGTTGAAGAAATGCTATTTAAAAATCCATGATTATGGCTCTGTTGATCCTTGAAAAAATAGTCTTTAAAAACCCAAATTTGTGACTGTGTTAATCCTTGAAAAAATGTCTTTAAAACCCATGTTTGTGGCTATATTCGTCCTTGAAAAAATATTCTTCAAAAGTCCACGTTTGTGGCTTGGTAGGTCCCTGAAAAAATATTCTTTAAAAATTCACGTTTGTGGTTTGGTAGGTCCTTGACAAAAAAATCTTTAAAAATCAACGTTTGTGGTTTGGTAGGTCCTTGATAAACAAACAAATCTTTAAAAATCTAGGTTTGTGGTTTGGTAGGTCCTTGACAAAAAAAAAAAAAAAAATAAAAATAAAAATCCACGTTTGCGGTATGGTAGGTCCTTGACAAAATAAAATCTTTAAAAATCGACGTTTGTGGTTTCATAGGTCCTTGACAAAAAAAAATCTTTAAAAATCCACGTTTGTGGCTTGGTAGGTCCCCGCATAAATATTCTTTAAAAATCCACGTTTGTGGTTTGGTAGGTCCCCGAATAAATATTCTTTAAAAAACCACGTTTGTGTTTTGATAGGTCCTTGAAAAAATGTTCTTTAAAAATCCACGTTTGTGGTTTGGTAGGTCCTTGAAAAATAATATTTAAAAATCGTCGTTTGTGGTTTGGTAGGTGATTGAAAAATATTCTTGAAAAATCCACGTTTGTGGTTTGGTAGATCCTTGACAAAAAAACTTTAAAAATCTACGTTCGTGGTTTGGTAGGTCCTTGATAAACAAAAAATCTTTAAAAATCAACGTTTGTGGTTTGGTAGGTCCTTGAGAAACAAACAAATCTTTAAAAATCTAGGTTTGTGGTTTGGTAGGTCCTTGACAAAAAAAAAAAAAAAAATAAAAAATCCACGTTTGCGGTATGGTAGGTATTTGACAAAATAAAATCTTTAAAAATCCACGTTTGTGGTTTCATAGGTCCTTGACAAAAAAAAAAAATTAAAAATCCACGTTTGCGGTATGGTAGGTCCCTGAAGAAATATTCTTTAAAATTCACGTTTGTGACTGTTAATCCATGAAAAAATGTCCTTAAACCCAATATTTTGGCTCTATTTGTCCTTGAAAAAATATTTTTTAAAAATACACGTTTGTGGTTTGGTTGGTCCTTGAAAAAAATTCCTTAAAAATCCCCGTTTGTGGTCTGGTCGGTCGTTGAAAAAATATTCTTTAAAAATCCAAGTTTGTAGCTCTGCTGGTTCTTTAAAAAAAATCGTTAAAAACCCATGTTTGTGACTCTCTAAATCCTTGAAAAAATGTTCTTACAAACCATGTTTGTGGCTCTATTCCTCCTTTAAAAAATATTCTTTAAAAATCCACGTTTGCAGCTCTGCTGATCCTTTTAAAATATTCTTTAAAAATCCACGTTTGCAGCTCTGCTGATCCTTTTAAAATATTCTTTAAAA